GGGGAGGAGGGGAGGAGGGGAGGAGGGGAGCATGCACTCGAGCAGAGTCGCAGACCAGCAGGGCAGCAGGCCAGCAGGCTGGCAAAGCAGGCAAAGCAGACCAGCAAGCAGGCCAGCAAGCAAGCAGGCAAGCAGGCAGGCAAGCATACTTCCAGGGTCTAGCGGGAGAAGTGAGAGAGAGGCAGAGGAATGTCGCTAGTCAGTCTTGGGTATCTTCTCGGATCGTCTTGTATCTTCTCTCGGTCTCTCGGTTTATCTTGGTGTCTTCTTCGTCTGCGGGTTGCACCTGTACAGTACGTAGGTAGTACAGTAGTAGGTAGGTCTCTACTTACTATCACGACTATCTGGGATCGTGTCACCCACACCGCATCATGGCGCGGTGGAATCGAGGTCGTCAAGTCGTACGTACGTACCTCTCTCCCTCCGTCCGTCCGTCCGTCCCTCCCTCCTCCCTCCTCCCTCCCTGGGTCGGTCGGTATCTGTGCATGTGTGGTTATGTATATCCCCGTCCGTTTGTATTCTACTGTACTTGTATGTGTGTATGTATGTACCTACGTGGGTGTGTATCTACTACGTACGTCGTCTGTACCGACGTAGGTAGCCCCTCCCCAGCTCCCTCGCTATATCGCTACCTAGATTGGTTAGAGGATCATGACATCTCATCCTGGGATCTTGGGATCTTGGGATCTTGGGATCTTGGGATCTTGGGATCCCAAGACGGTCCGGTAGGTACCGGTACGTCACTTGGCCGGCTGGTGGCAACTGAAACGAAAAACTCTCCCTCGCCCTCTCCCTCTCCCTCTCCCTCGCCCTTTCCCTCTCCCTCTCCCGCTCTCCCTCTCCCGCTCTCCCTCCCCCTCCCCCTCCCCCTCCCCCTCCCCCTCCCCCTTGCCGCCCCACCTCTCCCGCGATTCGGTGGCGCTGCGGTGATTGAGCTGACTGGGTGGGAGTGCCGGAGAGAAGTGGGTGGGCGGGTTGGGTTGGGTTGGGTGCTGGTCATGGTCGGGGTCGAGGTCGGGGTCGGGGTCGGGGTCGGGGTCGGGGTCGGGTTGTGGTCGGGGTCGTGGTCGGGGTCATGGTCGTGGTGGTGGTCGTGCTTCTCTGGTGTACCGGTAGTAGTGTGTGTGTATGTGTGTACGTAGTACGTAGTATGTGTGTGTATGTGTGTGTATGTGTGTGTATGTGTGAGGCACGCACTCAATTCCCTCACTCACACTCATCACCCCCTCCCCCCCCTTGGACCCTGGAACTGCTGGACATCTTGACCAGCGTGGAATTTGACTCGGGAGGCGGCGCTCTGGGGAACTGTCCTTTCCTTTCCGTTCCGCCTCCCCCGTCCCAGGTCAAGACTCACGGCTCATTTAGACTTTGCCCTTGAACTCTCCCCTTGAACTCTCCTCGCTGCCTCTTCTCTTTATTTAGCCTTTCTCTTTTGCCTTTCGCTTTTGCCTTTCACTTTTGCCTTTCACTTTTGCCTGTCGCCTTGGGACCCTCCCCCCTCCCCCCTTCCCTCCCCCCCCCCCCAGAAAATGACGCGAGGCGGAGAGGCTTGCTTGCTTGCGTGCATGCTGTCGAACCGGCATCTTCCCTGCAAGGGCCTCCTCCGTGCTTAACCAGTCGTAGGACGTGGTCGGTGGTCTCGAGCACCAGAGGAAGAGTGGACCGAAAGGGGAAAATAAAATTATATATACATGTGTATATATATATATATGTACATATATATATACATATATATCCATACATATATATTAAAAAAGGAAACCAAGAGAAGAGACGGAAAGATGGACCTGACAACACGAGAAACAAGACGCCAAAGAAAAGACACCAGGGGGCACGGCTGGTGGTCTCGTCGACAGCGGTCCCGGCAATGGCTTCTGGGAGAGCTTGGGGCTGCTCCAGCAGGAAATGAGGGCGGCCCGTACGTAGTACTACCGGTATTCTACAGTACGGCAGCACGGGAGGACGGGCTGGAGGAGGGCCGTCACACAAATGCTTGATGGATCTCCACTGCTCAAGCCGGTACTGGATTACGACAGCTACCGGTATATGGTATGTACGTAGTATGTGTATCGGGATGTATGTATGAGATATGTACGGAGGCATGTATGGAGTACCGGTAGGTGTGTGTATGTGTGGTGTGTAGGTGTGTAGGTGTGTAGGTGTGTAGGTGTGTAGGTGTGTAGGTGTGTAGGTGTGTATGTGTACATATATCAATGCAAAGTATAAATCATCAAGTAAATCTATATGTTTCTTCTTCTGCTTCTTGATCGTGTTCTTCTGCTTCTTGATCGTCGTCTTCTGCTTCTTGATCGTCTTCTTCTCCTTCTTCTTCTTCTTCTTCTTTTTCTTCTACCTCTTCTTCTTCTTCTTCTCCGTCTCCTTCTTCTTCTTCCAACGGAGACGGGGTCGTCGGCAAGAACGTCGATCCGGACGGCAATTGAGGATTTAAGCAGTCCACCACCGCGCTCGTCCGCCGAACCCCATCCCCAGAAGAACAAGAAGAAGAGAGACACACACCAAAAAAGGTTTCGCCCAGGACCAGGGACGAGCATGGAAAGAAGCGGACGGAGTGAACTCCGCAAAGTATGCAGAGAAACATACTACGTACTAGTACCACTACTGATACTAAGCACATCGGTAGTACTTACTGTAAGTAAGGCTGAATCCAAGATGGGGCCGAGAGTGAGTTAGGTCGGTTCATTAAGAAGAGACTCGGTCGGTACCTGGATATATACTCCGTGCCGTGTGTGATGCTACAGTAGGCAGATGCCGTGCAGTTGCAGACGTCAATCAAACGCCCAGCTGGCGCAGTCCGTGAGGAGGGAGGGGGAGGGGGAGGGGGAAGGGAGGGGGAGAAGGGGAGTTGAGAGGGGGGAGCTGAGAAGGGGGAGCTGAGAGGGGAGAGCTGGGAGCTGGGAGCTGGGAGCTGGGAGCTGGGAGCTGGGAGCTGAGAGTCGGGAGGGAAGGGAGTACCGGTACCGTACGAGCAGACCCAAGTCAGTCAGACTGACTGACTGACTGGGACATGAAAAGCTGACTTGACCTGACTTGACCTGACTTGACCTGACTTGACCTGACTTGACCTGACTTGACCTGACTTGCGGCCCGAACTTATCCCTTGCCGTCCTTACTGCAACCTGACTCGCACTTTGCAGAATCGCTCGCTCCCCTTCCCCCTTCCCCCTTCCCCCTTCCCCCTTCCCCCTTCCCCCTTCCCCTTCTCCCCGACAGTAAACAGACCGATATTTCAAATACTAGCACAACTACCAACACGCGACGTCGGCCGTCGACGACAATACAGATTCCATGCGTTGGGAGCGGAGAAGCGACCGCCTCCGCCACCACCTCCACCACCACCGCCACCACCACAACCAGTGCCGACCACAGGCCACACCCATCCTTCCTGGGCGACCGAAAAATCCCAAAACGAAAGAGAGAGTCCCCTGGCAAGTCCTCAGAGAGAGATAGAAAGAAAGAAAGATCCTCCCTACAAAGAAACCCAATCCGCAGACCGACCGACCTGCGAAATCTGGACTCGTCCAACATGCCGAGGGATGAGAGTCACGGTTGGTCGTCGCTGGTGGTCTCTCCCCATTCCCAAGATGTCTCAGCTCCCTTCTCGAGCTCCACAGGAATATATTGCGCACCCATCCATCCCGGCTATCAGAGTGGCCGGGACCGAGAGCGATACCATCTCCGTAATCTATCTGTCGTTGTTTCAAAGAGACGCTTCTCCTTGCATGCCATCCTCTGTCTCTCTTTCTCTCTCTCTGTCCTCTGTCTCCTCCTCTCTCTCTCTCTTCCCCTTGCTCTTTTTCTCTACCTAGTCCCATCCACATATCCACCCGTCCCCCCAGTCAGGCAGATGGAGAACGGGACACACACAACTCTCTCTCTTACCCAAGAAAAAGCTTATTTCTTTCTCCTTTCTTTTTTTTTTTTCCTTTCTTTTTTTCTAAACAACGCGGTAACCAACAACACCCTCAACAAAATCCAAAGGAGGCAAGAACAAATCAAAATAAAACATCAACAAAAAAGATATGCGCCTCCCCCCTCCCCCTCCCCCTTCTCGTCTGCAGTCCACTTCTACATACTGGGAGAAAACAAGATTTCCTTCAAGCATCTCCATCTCCCGGAGAAAATGTTTCACGCACCCGCGTATCTTATCCACGTATCTTACCCTCGCACCTTATCCACGCATCTAAGCTAGAGACCGATCCATCCATCAATCCATCAAGCAGAAACCACCAAGCAGAAACCATCAAGCAGAAACCATCCAATCCATCTCCAATCGCAGCAAGAAGAAGAGGTAGGTAGGTATGTATATACGCGTACATACATACATACATACATACATACATACATACATACATACATACATACATACATACATACAATATACAACCCCTCCCCCTCGCCAACCAAAAAAAGGAGCCAGATAGACGTCCTCTCATCTTCTCATCTTTTCATCTTTTCATCTTTTCATCTTTTCATCTTTTCATCTTTTCATCTTTTCATCTTTTCATCTTTTCATCTTTTCATCTTTTCATCTTTTCATCTTCTCATCTCATCTTCTCATCTTTCCTCCATTTTGAAATCTCCAACCTCCACTCTCCAACTAAGCCGCCTATACACAGCCAGCCAGATAGCCAGCCAGCCAAACAAAAGATGGAAAGGATAGATAGAAAGAAAGAAAGAAAGAAAGAAAGAAAAGAAAAGAACCTTTGATATCCCGCACGCGATAAGTATATCATTATTATTGTTATCATCATTATTATTATTATTTTTTTAAAAAAAGGAAAGAAATTAATAGTAATAATAAAGTAATAAAAAATTAAAAATTTTTTTTAAAAAAGAGTAATAAAAATATTAATAATACAGAATTTTTTTTTTTAGAAAAAAAATGAAAAAATGATAATAAAAAAATTAATGTAAAATATCAATAAAAAAAGTTAATATTACAGAATTAATAATTAATAAAAATTAATAAAAATTAATAAAAATTAATAAAAATTAATAAAAATTAATAAAAATTAATAAAAATTAATAAAAATTAATAAAAATTAATAAAAATTAATAAAAAAAATTAATAAAAAAAGTAATAAAAAAAATTAATAACAAAAATTAATAAAAAAAGTAATAATAAAAATTAATAATAAAAATTAATAAAAATTAATAAAAATTAATAAAAATTAATTAAAAAAATCAATAATAAAACTCCTTAAAAAATTACATGATATTTATAATATATATATATATATAACATAACAATAACAATAACAATAGCAATAACAATAACAATAACAATAAAAAGTGTACGAGAGCTCTCCCCTCTCTCCTCTCCACGCTCAAGTCACGCTCAAGTCCACGCTCAATTGCAGACATATATACACATATATAATATATTTCGATGATAACCCGAGATCTCCAGTGCCCCCTTCTTTGAGAGGAAGGTTGGATTAGGTTGGATGAGGTTGGGTAGGTTAGATTAAGTTAGATGAGGTTGGGTAGGTTAGGTAGGTTAGGTGGGTAGGTTAGGTTAGGTAGGTTAGATGGGTAGGTTAGATTAAGTTAGATGAGGTAGGTTAGGTTAGGTAGGTAGATTAGATTAGGTAGGTTAGGTAGGTTAGGTAGGTTAGGTAGGTTAGGTTAATAACCACATAACCACATAATCACATAATCACACACACACTCTCTCTCTCTCTCTGCGTAGAGAGCTAGCTAGCCCGCCAGCCCGCCAGCCCGCCCGCCCAAGCAAGCTCACTACTGGCGTGGAATAAATAAATAACTAGGAAGGAAGGAAGGATGGATGGATGGATGGACGGATGGCGCCTGCCCCGTCTCGGGATCGGATGGGATGGGATGAGCAGAAGGTGTGGAAGTGAGCGAACAGGTCAGTCACATGAAACACATCGAGATACGAGATACGAGATACGAGAGTGTTGGTATCAATTCGTTGGATTTGCGTCGCGCAAATCACCCCACCCAGGAGATATGAGCCTGGTACATTACATCCCTTGATTCGGATACATACATGAGGTCTGAACGAAGTTGCCCAACCTCACAGCCTTGTGACGGGGCTGTAGGGGATAAATCTATCTTACAAAGAAAAGATCAAGCTGGATTGCGCGCCGAACACGAGAGGGTGTGGTAGCTCTAGATGTCAGGCTTTCGCTAAAGTGAAGGAAATCTCAGAGTTACGAGAAAAGCCAGAGATGTCGGCACTGCAATGGTGCTGGTATCGTGAAGAAGGCCGTGAGAATATGGTGCTGCCCGTGGACGGAACCAAAGAGTGTACCGCTCGGTACGTAAAACGCCGTTGTAATGCCGCAGAAGACCAACAAGAAGTAGATGAGGTCTGCCAGTCGACCCTATCCAGAACGCCCCCTACCCAAGCCGAACGCCTTCAGACAAAAAAAAAAACCCCCCTTACCCCCCAGCTTTAGATCCTCAAGCTCTGCTTTTCCACTCCGCTACGACCCTGGGCTAAGGAGCCGAAAAGTTGCTCTGGAGGTACGCGCGAAAGGCCTTGGCTCCGATCAAAGCTTGCGGAGGGTGCTGGAACGTATCCATCATACTTTCTTCGAATGCGTTCGATGATGATACCAGCAACGACCAAGAGGAAGATCAGCCCAAGAGCAATGCCGAGGGCAATGAGCACGACAAATCCTTTGGCAAGTTTACCGCCTAAATTGCAATTAGCATATACGATTTTGGAGGGACCGCTTCACTTACCAGCTTTCTCGAAGAAGTTCTGCCGAGAGGAGAAGATCTGGGATATGCTGCTGCCCGCGTTCGAAGCACTGGAAGTGAGAGCAAACGGTTGGAAGGCTGTCCCATTGAACAACACAGAGGACGCGTTGCCAAAGCCTTGAAGATTGAGTGCTCCGGTAATCAATAGTTCTTGGCTATCTGGGACGAGGTAGGAAGTTTCGTGGTTCTTGGACAGAGGTAGAACTTTAAGGCTGCGAATCGTGGTCCCGCTTCCAAAAACGTCACCGACAGAGTTCCAGTTAGTCCCATCGAACTTCATGAGGAAGGCGGAGCCATTGGCGGCCGTACCAGCCACCCAAAGCTGAGATGCGTCACTATTTGCGGCAGTGAGGGCGGCGACTGGACCGGGGATTGCGTTTGCTCCACTGGCAGCTGTCCAAGACTGAGATTTGGTGTCATACTTTGCCAGTGAGACGCTCTCCCCATCTACAGTGAGAGCGCCACCAACGACCAGGCTGGTAGAGCTTGCCCATGTCATCGCGTGGGCGGTACCGCCAAGGTTGGTCCCAGGTCGATCCCACTGTGAGGCCGTAGTGGCGAAGACACAAACAGCAGGACACTCAAGAGAACCGGCTGCGGAAAAGCTGCCAGCGGCATAGACATCGCCAGTACCCTGTCTGACTGAAATCGCATTGACATCTCCGGCGAGAGAAGGTGGCTGAGTACCAAACGAAGAGGTGCTAAGATCAAATGCGACCATCCCTGTCACACCTCTGCCGTTCACTGTTCCCGAAATAGAACCTCCAGCATAGAGTGTGTCTCCTTGGAGGACCATGGCGAGAATAGTCGAGTCATTCGAGAGGGATGGACCCACACCAGTAACCACATTGGAGTTCGAATTGTCGATGAAGAGAATGTTGTTGATAACCGAACCATTGGATGCTGTCGCAGCGAAGTGTCCTCCGAGAATGGTGAGATTGCGCCCGTTGGCCTCGTCGAACAAGCCTGTCACAACCCCGGTCACATTGTGAGTTGCTGTGGCTCGCTTTCCTAGGTTGCTCGGGACTTCGGATTGGGTTTGTCGAATGGCTACAGGTAGGGTGTTTAGTGTATCGGTGAGAGCAACAGCGTCCTTGGCACCCAGCTGGGCTGAAGACAGGGAGCCAGCGAGGAGTGATCCTCCTGTCGGGAGGTCTACCGAGGCGGTGAGTTGTCCATTAATAGGTGGAGTGGCGAAGCCCAAGTTCTGAAGCCAATTGCCGCGAGACGGAACCCAGACTGCAAAGCCTGTGACTGCCACAGAACTGTTTGTTCCGAAGGCAAAGATCTGCTTGAACTCTCCAGTCAGGGTTATAACAAGCTCTGGTGTGTTCGCCGTCACGTTCAAGGCTAATGGGACAATGCTTGTCACGGTGCCATCAACTCCTGCCCCGAGGGCAATCCAGGAGTTCTTCGATGTGTCGTACATAGCAACATTGCTCAATCCCGCCGTGGCTCCACCCGAGATTGATTTCGTGAACTTGCCACCGACATAAAGTGTAGTGCCATTCAAGAACATCGCGAGGACTTCTCCGTCAAGTCCTGATTCGGCAAGAGATGTTGCTCCAGAATCTGTGATGGCGAGGATATTGTTGAACTCCGTGTTTGTAAAGTTTCCGCCAACGTAAGTCGTACTTCCGGAGGTTTGCAGGGCATTGACTCCGGCTCCTGTCGGTAGACTCATGCCGGCTGCATTGAAAGTTGAGTTGGCAAGGTCGGCACTTTCCATCACCCCCAACTCAGGATCGTATTCAAAGAGGCTGTTGAGACCGCCATCGGAGGAGATAAGCTTAAACCCAACTCGCTGGGCCACAATTGTAAGGCCTTGGGTATTCTGGCCATCCGCAGCCGAAAGAGTCACGGTGGGACGGAAGGAGGTTGTTCCAGCCTCGACATATCCGAAGTAGATTTGATCGTACTTATCGAAGTTGTTTGTCTGGAAGATCTGGGTCTGGAAGGAGGTGCCATCTGTATCACTTGACATGATACCGGTGACATTGATCTGACCTCGACTAGAGCAGGTTCCATCTTGAATACAACCGGGCGTGTAGATGTCCACGGAGTAGTTTCCCGATTGCTGAATATTAGGCATAAAGACAACATTGGCAGAGCTCGAGCTGGTAAATGTTGCCGTCAGGTATTCAGAAGAGCTCTGTTGAGAAGGTGAGACAACCCATGGTCCGGTAGAAGTTGCATTCGAGGGGATCGGAATGTCGGCGCAGGTCGGCTCGTTGAATGAGGGAATTGCATAGGCGGATATATCGTTCTGGAAGAGTTCCACACCGTTGAGTCCACCCCCGCTCCCATAAAACGCCGAGATGTCAATTTGGAAGCCATTCATGCCGATAACATTGACAAAGTTAAAATCTTGGTAGGGGACGGTGCTGCTACTGCTCAGAGGACATTCCGAAGAGCATGAGGCATTATGACCCGTGTCTGGGTCGATGTACGTGAAGTTCATGATCCCGTTGATTGGGAATGCCGTGTACCTCCAGGTCTTGGTTCCTCGTCCATCCAGATGTGTGTTCCACAGTCTCAACTTTGTCGGGTGGAAGCCGTACCCAAATGATGCCTTCCAGGAGCCTGTGGCATCATCAGCAAGAAGCCATGTATTTCCCGGCCCATCGACCCCGGGGCTGTTGCAGACGATGTTAGCAGGGTCGCTGAAGCCGGTGGTCGTTGTTGAAGAGGTCGCATTCAGCTCTGCCCCAGCAATGTTGATGATCTGCTGATCCGGGAGCCTCGGACCAATCGTATTATTACCAAGAGCTGTAAACGATCCTCCAAAGACAATATTCCCGTTCGAGGCCTTGGTTATGGATTTGACTGGTCCATTGAAACCGGCGAACGGTAGGTTTGTCCAACCGGTCGTTCCCACCCATGCAATTGCGTTGGTCGAGTTTTCGGCCTTGAAGCTGCCTCCGACATATACCGTGTTTGTATCTTGATCGCAGAGCAGCGCAGAGACTTGGCCCGAGAGTCCAGTCAGTGGAGTGAGTACTGAGGTGTCTGGATTGAACAGCCCAACTCCTTGCGACTCGGTCCCCTCCAAACTCGTGAAGTTACCACCTACAACCACCCCAGCCATGGTACCACCCTCCATAATAAATGAACACATTGCCTGTATTCCAGCATCGGCAGCGGCGAGACTGGCGAAGCCTCCGTTGGGGAATGGCGTGAGGATTGATTGGCTTCCATTGGTACTGAACCCGTCCTGATTCTGTCCTTCATATTGATACAGCGAGATACCATCAAAATCACCTACCAGTCCTACCCGCCCGAGCTGGGAAATATCGAGATCCGCGGGGGGTACGGGGTTGAAGGTAATTGCGCGCGAGACCTGAGCAAGGGATGCGAGGAAGAGCGTGAGTCGAATTGAGAGTGAGGGTAAGGGTAAGGGTGCTCGATCCGCGGAAAACCTCAGCCATGGTGAAAGCCCCATTGCTTGATTCCAGGCGCAAGGGCGCGGTATGGTTGTTGTTGTATTAATTTGTTGTTATTGTGGTCTCCGTCGATAGAATTCGTGGACGTGACTGCTGACTGGTGACTTGCATCGAGACGCGGTTTGTTGGAATTATCGACCTTCGGGGAATATCAATTATTGCGCGATATCCTCCGATAGTTCGATGCGTCTGAGAACATCCCACAATCCTCCCTGTAAATGAGTGTGATGCTGTTGGGCGTTGGTGTGGTGCGGGAAGGTAAGGTGAAAGGTGAGAGTTGAAAAGTGAAGGTCGGTTGGGTGTGGTGTAGTGCGGTGCGGTGCGGAGCGGAGCGCGGTGCGGGAAAGGAGATTGAGGCGAAGTTGAGGCCGCAAAACCACTTGGCACCAGCAATGCCGCCCCAGAAACAGTGCGAACGGGACGGATTACGGAGTAAGGAGAGTAGGGTAGGGAGGCGAACGAGGTGTAGTCCTTTCTTCGTCTGAAGTCAGTCGATCGATCGACGGTGGTACAGCCAGAGTATGCGTTGGTAATATTCGGCTTGTCTATCGGCCGGGATACCAGGTTTCGGGGTCGCGTCGGGTCAGGGCGAGTCGGGTGCAAACAGTATATTCGGGTATGGGATGTCCGGAGTAGGTACGGGAATACCGCCGAGGTCCTTGATCAGAAAAGAGTGTGAGGTCGTCGATGAGTTGGATGCGATAGGGGATCTTTCCACGTAAGTGACAGGCCCGGCGAGTCCAGCGATATGCGTGGCCTGGCTTACGGAGTCGAGTCCAGTCAACGAAAGACCGAGATCTGGCTGGGTTTCGAAAAAGAGAAAAGAGACAAGAAAGAGAAAGGAGAGGCTAAGGTTGATGGATCAAACCTTGGAGAGGAGCAGAAGAAGAATGAATGACTGCACACAGGGAGCGGCGAGTGGTGGGCATAGGAGAGATAGACCAAGCATCCAAGCATCCGAGCATCCAAGCATCCAAACAGTCTCGTACCGGTATGTCAGAAAGTCAGGAGAATGCCCAGACCAGCCGGCGATCCGTTCACAGTTATGCAAATCTGTCAGCAACACACCAATCGCGTTCATTCCAACAGCATGGGCATGGGCATAGGCATGGGCATGGGCATGAGCATGATGAGCATGATGAGCATGATGAGCATGATGAGCATGATGAGCATGCCTCGGACAACGAAAACACACAACAACAATAATAGAGTCGAGAATCGAAAGGGCGGAATGTCACATAACGGTTTGCATTGCTGCAACTCGAATAGCCCTCATTTGATCATCGCAATGTGCAAACTTATGAGTTGCTCGGTCCCCCAGCTACAAATACAATGAAACCTCTTCATCAAGACAGGACGGTGGCGGACGAAAATAAGGATGTTTCCGAGATATCCTTGGAACAGAACGTGGTGCGACTTCTTTATATAAAAACAAATATATATATATATTTTTATTTCTTTCCTTCTTTCTTTTTGGGTCATGGTAAATGTACCTATCTCCTAACGCGCATGTGAATTGATCTGAAAGCTCTCTGTCGGAATCGAGATTCGAGTTAACAACAGAGGCTATCTACCTATACAGTGGAAGGGATACTGGTTGTGGAGCAGGGAACTCTTTAAAGATTTTCATTACGCACGAAGGCCCGAAATACTCTTCAAGGTCATACCCCAAAAATAGACCACTGTCGGGATCCAGATCCCTAAGAATATCTTAATTGGTCAGCTTAACCTTTAGACTTTAGGGTAAAAATTAGCTCATTACGTAGTAATAAGGATATGAACGAGGTGTCTTAGGTTCAGGATCCCTTGGAAGATGGTTCCACGGTACGCGTTCCACTGTACCCAACAGCAAAGGAGGATCAAGGTGTCTGTTGAGCGAACTTCCAGAGCGTGTCTTTGTATTGTCCGACATGAGGTTCCGCAAACATCTACCGGTAGTATCTTGGACCCCGATGGCATTGCTCCTACAACGCAATACGAAACACGCGTGCACAAAGCTCTCTTTCCTGGTGCTGCTGGGTATCATCCTACTACTTCGTATCGCTGATCGCCGTCCTGGTCTTGTATTCCCTCGGGCTCTCATAGTTCCCAGCCTTGCCTGCCCACATCCCACGTTTCTTCCGCTTAGCCAGTTCCTCGGCCTCTCTATACTTCTTCTCGAAGTCGCCGAATTCAGCCCCCGTCTTTGCTTCGTAGACTGTAGCCAGTCCTGCCTTCACCATCTCCTTCCCTACGTCCCTTCGGAACAAAAACCTCCGTACCCAGACCGTAGCCACAACTCGCTCATACTGATCCCGCTTGTAGATGTATGCGCGCACTCGGCGATTCATGATGTAGTTCCTCAGCCATTCTAGTGCTTCGGCGGAGTATGGTTGGGCGGGTTTTCCGAAGTGAGAGCATTCCGGCGCGTCGATACCAGCTAATCGGACGTGTATCTGCCCGAATAGTCAGTCTGCTGCAAAGGAACTATCGGGAATAGAGGAAGTGATACCGTGTTGTTCTTCAGGTCGGCCTTCTTTTCCGGGATTTTCCGTCCTGGCGCCCATTCCCAACCAGCCAGTCTCCCACCGGGCGTGTGGAAAAGGTGGAAGTTGTCCGCATCACCTACCCTCGTAACCTTCCCAAATAGACTCCTCGTTCTGAAGAAACGGGGTCGTATGTACGTAGCTTCTGGTATTCGGCTTAGGTAGGAGCGGTAAACCCTTACAGAGACCAGGATCGTGGTTGTGAGGATAAGTGTGGGAATCACTGTCCTCGGATCGGTGTAATGAGACCAGTCGATAGAATTGAGATTGTCTGTCCATGAGACAGGACTTTTCCTGTCACCACTGTCCCTTTCGCGCCATGGTGGCCATGGCATTGTGTCGAGCGTTGGTGCAGAGGACTGTGGGGAGATTTCTTGATGTTCTCGCTGTAGGCTGCAGGGATTATAGCGGTTGCAAGGTCAACAACATCAGGTGAGATTCTTTTCTGCATGCCTATCCGACGGTGCAAGTAGTGTTGCTGGGAGATCATAGCAGGATTTCCATAGAGGAATACGCAAGCTGGGTCTAAATGCATTTCGATGATCTTGTTAGGTGGTATTTGGGGTCTAGAGACCCAAGAAGGGGAGTCTGTTGACCTCGCTAGCATGAGAACTGGCACTATCGAGATGCTCGTTCATGGATTCTTGCTCGATTGGCAAGAAACTCCTTACATTGTCCACGTGAAAACCATGAAGCCAACATGTTTCATGGCCCCTTCACCACGTACTTGAATTGAACAGCTACTCATAGAGCAGTATCTCTTCACACAATCTTCCGCCGCTTTACCCTTTGGCTTCTTGAGCTTTCAATCCTAAAATCCTTCTTCTCATCAAGAGGCCCATCCTTGAGCTCGCCCACATCAAACTCCCGCTTTAGCACCACTTTGGATTCCAGAAGAAGCTCATCCTCTTGTTTGATCTTCACGTCATCAACTTCAGCTTCGACCTTGGTTTTCAGTCTTTCCGAGAATGTCTTCAAATCTGCAGCAAAAAGAACCGAATGAGCCCATCCCGCTTCTTCACCCCACAGTTGTCTGAAATGATCTCCGATAGCATCATATGTAGCTTTGGTGAGACTTTTGTGCTTTCCCTTTCCAAACTTGTAGTCTCGCTGGGCGATTTGCCATACGTGAGTGTCAACAGGAACAGCCTCGCCCCAGCCAAGGCCCATCAAGCACACGCAATCAGCAACTTTTGGTCCCACTCCTTGGAGCTCAAGCAATGCTTCATGAGCTTTACGGTAACCTTCGCGACCTCCCTGAGGTAATGGTTTTTGGTCTAGGCTACCATCGTAAGGCTGTCTGTTGCACAAACTCTCCAGCCAACCTTCGGGCTTCTCCTTCGCAACCATTAACGCGGTTTTGGCGATATACGCAGCACGATATCCGAATCCGAGTCCCCTCAGTCGTGACTCGACACCTGGCCCTGAAAGAGCTGAGGGTGTTGGGAAATCATGTATTGGTATGTCGTCAACGTGACCTACCAGAGGACCATAATGCAAGCACAGGTTGTTAATCTAACCCTTATTAGCTCACGAGACTTTTAACTTTAAAAATATCAAGTACCATCTGTGATATCCTCACGATATTGTTGTTACTGCTGCAAATGAATCCCACGAGAGCTTCCCAAGGATCTTGCTTCAAGATCCGCACTCCAGTGAATTTGGGGGCTCTCTTCTTGAAATTCGAATCGGCAGAAGACCATTGTTCATAGAGAGATGTTAAGTCAGGAGATAGATTCAGATAATGCTTGAGCAAGTCCTCGGTATCTGCATCTTCGCCTGAAGGGTCCGAAGTCACATTCGTAGAGGGAGAAGACTTCAATGAGCGCGAAATGCTGGGCCATATCGTTCGATAATGGAGATGCGTGGAGTCCTGCTTGAGAGAAAGGATTCGCCCGTGGAGAGCGCAAGTCCTGTCAGATATTGGAGTGAGCCTATGAGTCCAGCCCGGGACCGACATACTGCACTTACCATTCATCGTCCCTGAGCTTTTTCCACCGAAAAGATTGACCGCAACGCAAAGTCGTTTCGATACAGAGCTCGGCCAGACTGACAGGCAGCTTGCGCCATTCAGAAATACGCAATGCCATTTTGTCGTTAGGTTGTGAAGTAGAGGCTATTATGGGGATGTAAACATAATGTAAACATAACTAGTCTCTACCTAGCTAAGCCTTCTTGAAATTCCACGCGCTAAAATTCTCGGCTGGGCGTCGCGCAACTTCGACTAAGCTCGACCAGCAGCCTCGTTTCGCAATTACCACCAACCTCCCGACATTTCATACTAACGGTCGACTTTCGACTCTCACTTTCTTTCGAGCTGCAATCGCCACAATGAACGGTGACAGCTACTCATCAAGAGGCATGACACCCTCAGCGTCCTCAACAAACCCCAAACCAAGTGGAGCTACTACTGACAAGCAAGCATCAGCAGATTCTGGCCGCCATGGCTCATCAAGAGACTACCCTGTGAGCTAAATAAATCGCACTACGAGAATAAAAGCTGACCAGATGCAGGCGCGCGACGATCGACGTAGCGATAGAGGAACTCGAGACAGACGCCGTTCCCGCTCGCCCGGCCACCGCGATTCACGATCATCTCGTCGCGACGGGGATGTAGATTCGTACTCCACCAGCCGTGACTATAGGGAGCGAGAGCGCGAGGACAGATACTCGGGCAGAGGTGGTGGAGAGCGAAGAGGAGGGGATAGAGCAGGGGATAGAACAGGCGACAGAGAATGGGATCGAGACCGTGGCTCCTCGAGACGAGATGCAAGACGAGATGACGGAGACAGACCACCGAGGCGAGATCGAGATCTGTTCGAGGATAGAAGAGGAGGTGGAGGTCGACGAGGTGGTAGAGGCGATCGAGATGCGTTTGGTGGAGCGCCAGATCGAGGAGAACGACCCAAGAGTGCATCGCCTCCGCCCAAGAAGAAGGAGCCTACACCAGACTTGACAGACGTTGTCCCAATTTTGGAGCGCAAGAGACGATTGACTCAATGGGATATCAAGCCTCCAGGATACGAGAACGTTACGGCTGAGCAGGCAAAACTATCTGGAATGTTTCCACTACCAGGAGCTCCTAGACAACAGCCTATGGACCCAAGCAAGCTCCAAGCATTCATGTCGCAACCCAGCGGCTCTGTCACTAATGCTGCTCTTAAGCCTTCTAACTCCCGCCAGGCCAAGCGCCTTCTCGTCAGCAATCTTCCCCCAACAGTCAATGAGGAGGCTATCGTCAACTTTTTCAATCTTCAGCTCAATGGTCTGAATGTTATTGAAGGATCAGACCCTTGCGTATCTGCCCAAATCTCAAAGGACAAGACATTCGCTCTGCTAGAGTTCAAGCAGACATCGGATGCTACCATAGCTCTTGCCCTTGACGGAATTACGATGGAAGATGAACATATGAATGGATCTGCCACCAACGGCGACACCCAAGGGCTCTCTATTCGCCGCCCAAAGGATTATATTGTTCCTACAATTACAGATGAAACACCCTTTGAGGCTGGCGTCATCTCCAACGTGGTTGTGGATACCCAGAACAAGATCAGCATTTCAAACATTCCACTCTACCTCACAGATGAGCAAGTCACTGAGCTTCTCGTTTCATTTGGAGAGTTGAAGGCATTCGTTCTAGTCAAGGACAATGGCACCGATGAATCTCGGGTAAGTCCTTGTATGGATTGCAGTATACGAATGACTACTAACAATTTTCAGGGAATCGCGTTTTGCGAGTATGTTGATCCTGTTGCAACAGATATTGCCGTCGAGGGTCTCAACGGTATGGAGCTCGGTGACAAGCATCTGAAGGTACAAAGAGCTAGTATCGGACATACGCAAGTTTCTGGTCTCGAAATGAGTGTGAATGCTATGTCTATGCTTGCTGGAACGACTTCCCAGGGCCTGGAAGAAGGCCGTGTCTTACAGTTGCTGAATATGGTCACTCCAGAAGAGCTCATCGATAACGAGGATTACGAAGGCACGATCCTCCTGACTACCCTTATCCAATCGCTGCTGACAATGTATCCAGAAATTTGTGAAGACGTAAAGGAAGAGTGCGAGAAGTATGGCAAGGTGCTTGATATGAAGGTACCAAGACCTACCGGAGGAAGCAGACAGTCCAATGGAGTCGGCAAGATCTACGTCAAATTTGACAACTCTGATTCTGCTGGTAAAGCTCTTCGTACTCTGGCGGGAAGAAAATTTGCGGATCGTACAGTTGTCGTCACCTATTTCTCAGAGGTAATTCCCGATCTATTTCGTCTCTAAGTTTCAAGCTCACTCTCTGTAGGAAAATTTCGAAGTATCAGCCTGGTAAAAGCCGACCTACTCCGTCGATACCGCGACTGCCGGATCTCCAGAACAGCTGTACTTTTCGCTTGCTTCCCCGGACGATCTGAAAGCGGGCCTATGAGAATCTCTCTGTACTTTTACTACTGGCCATTTGGCACACATAGGAGTCATCCCGAAAAGCACTGGCTCTACGGTCAGACCAAAAACTAATAAATCCCATTTGGATGGTATATCTGCGGACCTGCGACCCTCGGCCATCCTGATGTTGTGACTTTCCGAGAAATCCAATTATTGTGAAATCACCAGAATATTTGCCTCGATTGTCATGTTCCACTGTTAGTGTTGTTTATCCTCACGAATGGAGGTCTGAGAACCCCTGCTTCATGGGAACGCCTGTCGATTGTGGCACGGCGTTGATACCTGGGAATTTGCAAGCAAATTCAGCGGACATTGATGAGTCTCTCAGAGTTGATGGGAGATTTAACAAGACACGCGATAATGTCTTGACCAACGATCAGAGCAGTTTGACTACCCCAGAAGCTAGTTTCCAAGGAGCGCAGAAATATTTTCTATACGATCAGAAACTTCAATACATGCACATGCAATCAAGGGTACGGTGACGCCGTCTGTATGCTTTGCCGTCGTATAGCGTTTCCCGAACTCCCCCTTCAGGCACGAGTTCACGGAGTACCTTTCATCAGTGCCTGCGAGGGACCACGAAGTGAAATCGAAATGTGTAATTGTTCTACTCTAAGTTGCCATTCGAGCCAAAATTCGTCCGACCACCCGAGCGAGCCCGTGATCGTATCGTGAAATAGGAATCTCTACATTACTTCATGTTAGCAAGGCAGCCACCGCAACAATACTGAGCGCGAGACAACATGGCGACCGAGAAACAGATCATAGTGTAAAGTGAGATCATCGTCCATCCCGCAGGATGAGCTAGCATTAGAGGTGCCAGAAAAAAAGCAAAGAATCTAATCAGGACGTCTCTCGGCCGCATGTTAGGAGGGCTCGGAACGAGAATATACTCACAGAATTGCTACCAGTTCAGGTACAAAGTTGCCTCAACTTCACAAGCTGGTCACACTGGTTGTAGACGAGCCCGACGAGGCAGAGCGATAACGCGAGGTTCGACACCGATTGGCGAATCTGCGCCGCTTCTATCGCGGTGGCCACGACTGTTGGTTGCTGGAGAAGGTTGACTTCGTCAGCCCGAGGAGGTTTTATAATTTTTTTTTTTTCATTGGTTGCACTAGCTCAGCTGCGCTAGTGCCGCACTAGTCTTGACCTCGCTTGAGTCCACCCACACAAACCTCAAAATTTCAAGAAGTCTCAACCACGCACGACACATCACCAAATCAACAACAACTCCCCAAACCACCGCCAGCATGGGTCGTCTTCATTCAAACGGAAAGGGTATATCGGCCTCTGCCATCCCATATTCCCGCACTCCTCCCTCCTGGTTAAAGACCACCCCCGAGCAGGTTGTCGACCAGATCTGCAAGCTCGCGAAGAAGGGTGCTACTCCGTCGCAAATCGGTGTCGTCCTCAGAGATTCGCACGGTGTTGCTCAGGTCAAGGTCGTTACTGGTAACTCTCCCCCTATGATTGCGCGGTGCGCGTGGAAATGGTAGTCTAACTTATATCTCAGGTAACAAGATTCTCAGAATCTTGAAGTCAAACGGTATGGCTCCATTGGTCGATTGATACATTGAGGTTTCAAACCCATCAATGACCGAAGCGCAAAACAATACTGCCTCCGTTCGGTCTCTGACTGGCGGAGTGAAAATCCCATGAACGATACTGCCTTTGCCTATCCATTGGCTGACCGGATATCGTATAGGCCTCGCCCCAGAAATCCCAGAGGACCTGTACATGCTGATCAAGAAGGTAAGGAGCTCTTCGCTTGTGAATTTGGGCATAGACTGACTACTTCCAGGCCGTCGCTGTCCGCAAGCATCTCGAGCGCAACCGCAAGGACAAGGATTCCAAGTTCCGTCTCATTCTCATCGAGTCCCGTATCCACCGTCTCTCTCGCTACTACAAGACCGTCGGTGTTCTGCCACCAACCTGGAGATACGAGAGCGCCACTGCCAGCACCTTGGTCTCGTAGATATGGGAATGGGAAACAAAATTGCTGCTTGGCATGGCGTTGGGGTTGTGGACAATTGCATCAAGAACTGATCGTCGTCAGTGACTTAGGGGCATCAGGGATAAGAACAATCAAATCTCAAAACACACTCCAAATATTGCAGAAAATCCTTGACTTTGAATAATACTCTGACCGTGCAATGAGAACATGAGATCTATTCTTGAAATGTGCCCATGCTTTCCCCTGTACGCCACTCTTTTTCTGCGCCTTGTCCCCTTTTGTACACCAGTATCGGAGATACGAATTTGAGCCTGAGTTGAAAAATTACTCAGCAGAATCCTTAGAGCCTCATGTTCCTTCCAGTTCCTTCGATCTCTGCAACAAGTATTCGCCCAACACGCGCAAAGGATCCCGTGGTCTGGTCAGGCTATCAGCTTTGTTGTATCCTTTAACAGTCTTTAAGGGCACTTACTGCTCTTTGGCAAGAACCTTCATTCCATCCATGACAGGACCCGTCACCTTGCTGTTCATGTATTGTCTTACGGGTGCACCATGTAAAGGAGCTTCCTTTGGGACCGTGGAGGAAGGCTCGGGGTGTTGGGACGGGGCACGAGAAGCAACATCGGTGCCATTAGTGGTGCGTGAGGGAGTTCCGACTCTGGCAGGAATTGGGCTTGGGGCATTCGCCGGGTTGGAAACAACTGCTGGAGACTCATTCGCCGGGTTGGAAATGACTGCTGGAGACTCATTCGCCGGGTTGGAAATGACTGCTGGAGACTCATTCGCCGGGTTGGAAATAATTGCTGCTGACTGAGTGCATGTCAACATTTAGTCTCTGTTGCATAGGTTCTGAAAGAGCTTACAGCAGGTATTTCAGGAGCATCGGCCATGACTATGTCGCTTGAGAGGTTCTGCTCTTGGGGAGGTAGGATCGGAGGGGGTGTCGCAGATTGTTGTTGTTCTTGTTGTTGCATTGCGACAGAGTTCGCGTCTGCGCCTGCCGCTGCTGATACGGTAGATGAGTTCAGATCGGGTACAACCGCTTCGGGCGGATTACTTGAAGACATGGTTAGTGGTGATCTAGAAGGAGCGGTTGTTGTCATTTACTCGGGCAAAATTCCCAGAAGCACTGGGCTGCACGTGCACACCCGTAGCGGATCGCGTTCATACATGGTTTTGGACGCGCTAAAGCATCCAAATCTCAAACCATCTCAATCGACCCCAACTTCGAATATTCATATCAATATGGTCCTCGAATCTCTTGGAGCTACCGGCCATAACGCAATGGTTAGAGGAAGAACCCCACACCCCGCCTCGACAAAATACCATGACGATGACCTACCCCCAGCAAAGAGGCTGAAGACTTCAGAAAGCACAAATAGGGAAAACTCCAAATCTGAGAACGAAAGAATTCTTCAGGGCCCGGGGCTTCAAAAACATGAGATTCCAGAATCGGAAGATGATGATGATGGATCTGGAGGCGAAGAGCCATCACGTCCTCAACGGCCTACCGAGTTGGAAAGTGTGTTGCCCCCGGTAAAGACAGACAAGGGTGCGATTGATGAGTATGAGGCAATGCGAGCCGCTGAAGAAGTTCCGCAAGACCTGAAGTCTCGGATTACCCAGAGAAGTTGGGTGCAGGGCAAGAGTTCGATATATGTCGACGCCTTCAACTTGGCTCTCGAGACTGTACTTGATGACGAGTCACATCTTTTTGACGAAAAAGAGATGGAGGTATTCAGACAGTGGAGAGAGCTTAGATATGAGGCCCAATACCTGTAAGTTTGAACTCTTGTTCGAGATAAATCAGGCTGACCGAACAAGATACGTTCGTCTTTTTCTGAGGAAGACTTCAGCATGGCATCGCATAAAAAAGCTTGGATACCATGGTGATATTGCAGACCTTCAAGAAGCTGTCAATATCCTGCAGTCCGTTCGAGCTCTACCAGAATCGTCAGCAGCACCTCAAGAGAACCCTGCTGAAGTTGCGCCTCCAAAAGGTACTCTCTTGGACTCGAGCTTTAGTTTCGCCGATTCTTCTGACGGCTTAATCACCACACTGGAAGAGGCTTCGTCCCTATTGAATCTGGAAGAAATCAAAGTTCTCGCAAAAGAAGCCAAGGTTCAAGGGAAGAACAAGGCGGGATTGCTGAAGTCTCTTCTCCAGATGAGCGAACGTCAACGCGGTCTAGGATGGGTTGGATTAAAGAGATCCGACAGTCAGCATAGCGTTGCCTCGGAGTCTGGGAACGACGATGATAGCGACTCGATGTTGGATATAAACAGAGACAGCCACTTTCTACGGAAGATTATGTCTACTACAGGCCCCTGTGTAAGGCTATCACTTCCGACCTTGAAGCTCTTTGAACGAGTCCACCTAGTATTCTATCGCTCCACGGAATGGACAGACAAGTCTTTGACAACCATCATTCTAGCTAGAATATCGCGTCGGAATTTCCCAGATTACATAGTCTCCCGGTCCCAGAACATTTTCGCCTCCAGATCCGATCTTTTGGAATTCGAGGCCTCTCTCAGAACTCAATTCCGTGTGGACAACATCCTCGAGCTTAATGGAAATCCGTCGAAAGGAGCCCTGGAAGAGGTACTTTCCATTTTCGACGAGGTCTATCCTCGCTGGAAGGTTCTCCTGAAAGAGGAACAACGGAAGGAAGATCGTATTTATGAAAGTGGCGAGGGAGCTTATTTGCGTCGCTTCTCGCCAGCCTGGGTATATACACGCATCGTCCACAAAGGGACCTATGCGTTGGGACGCTTCAAGATGCATGAGCGGGAGCACGAGGTCACTTCAGATCTCCTAAATCAACATCTATTCCATGCCGCTAGGCGAGGAGCCTGGTACCAACGAAAGGCTCTCTTAGAAGAGCACTACATGCATAGCCTTCAACCTCCGCCGGGTATATCTGATTTGGAGCAGCAAAAAAAGTACTGGAAGAAGATCTCACTCCGAACATGCGAGGCTGGTCTTCAAGATAAAGACTGCCACATGATCTACCACTACGATTTGCAGAAGCGAATACGCAAACTTGAAAAGAATCTCAAGATCCCGAAGCGAGAACAGCATGACTTTGGTCACGTCTTGCTCTCTAAACCCGTGGAAGTGATTGTTGAAGGCACACAGATCAAGAAGGAATACCCGCCTAGCAAGAGACGAGCAAGTGCGACAGGGGACGAGAAACAACGAAGCACGAAAACGACATGGGTCGATGAAGCCGAAGGTGGAGGCGAGTGCAGTGTGGAAGCGATGTGCCTGTCTGACTACCGCTCAAGAGGATTTAAAGGATATCATGCCGAAGGCGGTATTGTACGGACATTGTTTGCATATCTTTTCTACGATGTAATATTTGTCTACGTTCCGAACGTCTTCCAAACTGCATACCAGACTTGCCCCTTGGACCTCCATACCGATGCATTCTTTCCGGCTCGGGCATCGGAAATCAATCACCGACTTGTGGAAATCGAGAATGGCTCCGCAGCAGACATCATCCGAGCTGTCGATGCTCGAGAGCGCGAGAAACGGACCTGCGTCATCGGTCTGAACTGGGATTTCGAGCTGCAGGATCTACTCGAGATAGTCAGCTGCTTCGATGGACATGCGTTGGCCATTATATGTAAGGTCATGGCGCAGGAGTATCGAGTCAGAGGCGGTGGAATGCCGGACTTGTTTCTGTGGGATGTGAAGGAGAAGAAAGTGATGTTTTCGGAGGTCAAGAGTGAGAACGATCGGCTGAGCGATACCCAGAGATTATGGATTCATGTTTTGACTGGAGCGGGACTCAGAGTAGAGCTTTGTAATGCCGTGGCCAAGGAGGTCAAGATTATATCTATTGACTAGGATTGGCATAGTGGATGGTAACTCGGCGAAGGCATTATCATCGTACCTGGCCGTTAATCACTTAAGATGAATTATCATTCAAAATCCTACCCTGGGCCTTACCTTTCTGATGATGAGAAGAAAGAGTGTAATCTTTCTTACCTACCTGGGAGAGGTTTGGTGTCGTTAAAATATTACTAGAAGCAGTAATCATGAACTCATGCAGAGGGTACTCCCTCTCCCTCTCCCTATTACACCACGAGGCAAATGAGCGTGCTAACCCAACATCACGATCCACACACACTTCTGTAGGGATTTTCATCATTTCAGCTCAGAACTGGCAATATCCGAGAGATCATGGCCGTGTTTAATGAGAAAGAAGATCCGATTGCCAGCTCTCCTCTTCGAGCTTCCTGCCCGTCCTCGCTTATTTTTCACGTCTCGCTCAGCGGCGGCGACTGGGTAGGTATCACCTTGCAATATCCCCCCGCAAAATAGCGCTCCTGGCTTCCGAGCCTAGGAGGAATAGAAGAAGTGAATGTTTCTCCGAGAAGCCTTAGGACTGGCTGGTAGGGCCTGCGCCATGTACAGATCGCCCTCGCGGATCGAAATCCTCACCTGCAGGTTTCAGCATTTTGCTTATACTTTTCATGTAACTCCAGAACCTTTGTGTGTGACATCATCCCGAAAGTCTCCAGTGAAGAGGGCAGTAGTTATTCTTTGAGTACGTAGCTCTGCGGTTTTAGCGAATCAAGAAGCTTATTGAGAGGGAGTCTTGTTCATGGTCAGGGCAAACTGGTCAACATTTCATTCCGTGTCGCAAGGGCTTGTAAAGCTTCTGCCGAGAAAATCATATTCACACTTGCCTTTTCCCAGAGAGCAAGCTTCCTCGGTCGTTTTTCCGTCCACGGCCTGGAGATGTATAATGCATCCGGTAGGCATCTGACTGGTGCTCGCTGCATCTGTATGTATTACCAAAAATCATGAGTGAAGTCGAAGAATCGAGCTCCTTATATAGGTATATATATATATATTCATCCTACCAGGTAAGTCCGCAAGGTTGAGGATATCTGCTACTTGGATTGTCCTGCCGAGGCGCATCAAACTTGCGGACTGGATCATTGTGATACAATACTACGGAGCAGGTAACTGCTACGTAATGTACCACGGTACAGTCGTAGTTGTTACACCCTTGAGGGTGCCTCAAAAGTTTAGTTTCCACTTTGAAGCCCCTGGTTACCCTACCCTCAAGGGTGTAACAGTTACGCCTGGGACGTAGGTTAGAGCCCCTTTTCGCACCACAACTAAGGGTCAACACTTCAAAAATAAAATAAAAATCCATCATAAGCAGGTGTCTATTAATTATAATTTCGGGGAAGTGTTTAACTGGAAGCGTCAAGCTCAAGTTTGCTTGTTCTGAAGTCGCCCCTTTTTTTTAAGACTCCTGCTAAAGTTAAGCGAAAGGCAGATCTATAATTCTCGAATTAACTCTATTAAATGACAATATGAAACGAAATCCTCTTACAGTGATAAGCTATTTCTTGTTATTAAAAGCTTTGGAGTTTTATCCACCTTTCAAAGCTTATAGTTGTGGAAAGTTTAAGCGGTCAGATGTAAAGAGTTCTGGGGCGAGATTAAAAAGAAGGTTTTTATGCATTAACAGTTAGATGACGACGCTCCATACTTGCACAAATGGGCGAATTCCTAGGTACTCCCAATTTTTATTTACTACCTGGTATGGATGACTCTATTGAACTAGGAAGACACGAGCCACTCAATACTTGATCATCGTATCAGGAGCCAATGCAAAACTCAAATGCCCGTAGCTTTGAATAAAAAGAGAACCAAAACAATACGACAAGATTTAAACGGACTTGAAACCGTCAGAGCTGACTTTTGGCGTTGCCAGCACCACCTAGCCTTTTACACAGGTCATCTCGACGATACAAGTCTCCCCAGTAGCATCCCTTATCCTAGCATTTCTCGCACACTTTGCTATTTTGCATAAGTTCGCCCAGCGGGTATTTTCACTGACCAACGACGGGAAAACATGCATAGGAACGCGTCATGCTGCTGTTTGGCCTGGGGATACGCGACCCAATATCAACAACCTCTCTTATTCCTGCTCGGCACCATCCCGAGTCATGACATGCCCAGGAGAAAATATGAAATCAGTCCATGAGCAGCGACAGAGAGCCCCATAACCTCTTAGACCTCGATACCCCCCACCCCTCAACAAAGAACACCGGCTAAAACATAAAACATGCCAGAGGTGTTAATCATATAAAACTTTTAAAATATGGCATTACCGCATTAAGCCACCAAGCAATAAGAAAACAGTGTTGGCATGATCGAGCCATGTAGTCCTGCGGTACCTCATGAGAACTGAACTCCGATCTGGCATCCGCAGATGCACATGTTGAGCTTAGCCGGTACTCGTAAAAGCTGCTATATGCCTAGAGTATATCTCTGCTGGCCAGAATTCGCAACGAAGTGCGAGATGCGCAGATTTCATCTCGGACGATAGAAAGATCTTGCGGGTTGAGAGTGCAACATTATGCACGCCAACAAGCCATAGTATCTCACAAGGAGCGTAGATCCTCACCAGGCCTTGCTGACGAAAATAAAACTTGGGTTGATGGCAGAAGGATATGCCCAGCATTACCTGGTAGTTCGTAAAATGATCAAACGACGGTTCATAGTTGTAGACTTGACAAAAGGATCTTAAAAACACGCCGATACGTGCGATCCAGGACCCAGCTGGAACATATGAATACAGTAATAGTAGGAGGCCGCGAAAGAGCATTAGGGAAGAACGGCATTCGTCTGTGTATGACGTTCAGTCTTCTGAAGCAATATTTTCCGAAGCACGCTTAGCCCCTCTCCATTCACATGGTGTTCGTCTAGTCCGAAAAACAACAACAGGCCTGTGCTTTGACCCGGATCGCCAGAATCATGTACGGCGGAATCTACCATGTTGAGACACTATCCCGAATGACGACCTGTTGGAAAAGTTGGGACTTGGTTCGTCCCGAATTCAATATCCAGCGATGTACCCGCACGGTTCACCGGCTAGAATGAAACGCGAGAACATGCACAGAAGAAGGAAATCAGAGAGAATCAGAGAGAGAAATGGAAAGGAAGTTCGAGTTGGCAACGATTTCGGATTCCACCCCCCTTTTTCCAATTTTCGAGAATGGTGTCAAGTCCCAGATCACGTTATTTTCGAGTCTCGATCTCATCATGAGGAGTTTTGTCGGTAGCAACCTCGGTTCGAGTATGGAAGGTATTCTACCAAACAAGCATACTAGAACAAATTGAAGTTGAGGCACGGAGTACAGTGAGCAATGTATCTATCTCCTGGTCTTATCAGGTTCCATTGCCCCTTCCACACTCTTGAAATCACTTCCGAAGTTCTACTTGAACGAGGAAATGTTGTGAGCATTCTTGAAGTGGAGGCAGTAATAGAACTGACGAGATATCGGGCCACTTGTTGGTTCTGACGCGTTTAGAACTTCCCGGCCAAGTGGAACGGGCGGAAAATGAATGGCAACCGCATGTATTCTTTCATATGCAGGAACGGAAAATGGCACGGTAGCCATAATGCAAACTGGTCTAGCCAAGGAGGGTTTTCCGACGTTGAGACATGGGAGGAAAGGTCTCAAGAGCAGCGTGGTTGGTTAGGGAAAATTCTCAGCTTCTCCGATGCCCGGAATTCAGTTGAGCTTTATTCGTCAGGCTTTTGGAAAAATTCGATCCCCATTGAAGCCTCACGTCCCGAGAAGCAGAGCTGATATCAAAATGGTGGCAGTCTTCTAAAGAGACTTAGGTTCTCTGCAGTATTCACTGCAGAACAACCGGACAACTGGATGGCTCGGCCAATTCGCCATAAATGGTAAGGGGCATAACCCATTTTTTGGGTCGACGACGTGGTATATGCAGAGTGCTGCCCCAAGTAATGCCAATCGCCTGGCAATGTTTCAGACCCGTAGCTAAAGATAATTTAGCCAGTGGGCCGCAGGAGAGTGGACGACGGTAGCGAAGAAGTAAACAATACCTACGTACGGACAAGTACAAAAACGAATATCAGACCTCAGGTCTGCACTTTAGAACCAACCATGATCAGAGATCCTGGTGAATGAACCTTGCATCTCTTCAATGGCCGACCATACCCCTGACCGACTTTTAGGAGCGGCACGGTACAGCAACCTATTCAAATCATATCTCCAGCCCTGCTGGGATGGTTGCAGTGTTCAACCGGCGATCTAAAGAATGCAATTCGTTCGGGAGGAAGTGCATGCAGGAGAAATCTGAGGCTCTTGAATATTCAGGAGTAATTTTAGCTTGTAGTAGACTTGGGATCGCGGACGGCTCGCATGAGAGCTTGTCTTGGGTAGTATATCAATCCTGGAAGAAGAAAAAAAAAAGTCTATTTCTCAACCAAGATCGCCTCGCTGCCAAAAATCGTCTCATCAAGCCTCATTGAAAGCTCGGTCTTCCAGGGTCTCCAACAATACCCCAATTCTCCCAAAGAACGGTTTCGTCCGAAGTTTCCCACAGATCTTTTTTTTTATCAAAGCATTGAGCCCAAAGATCCAAGTCATCGTTGTTTACCATAGCAGTTGGAATGGCCATTTGCAGCCTCCGACCCAAGACGAAACTGATGTAAGAGAAGCGTAGCACTTTCTCGGGCATGGTGTCTGGCAACATTGAGTGGATATAATCCAATATATCCTCTTCGTTTCCTCTCCATAAGTTGATTACCTCCATCTCACCATCAAAGTTCTCTTCTTCGATAAAGTGTGGGATCCAGACTTTGCCCACCTCTCGCATTTTGTCAACATCCGCTTTGATGTAACAATACCATTTCTCGACCCCTCGATAACCCGGCCAGCCAATAGGATCATTTGCTGTTAGTTTATTAGCTCCGCGTGGCAAGTGACGATTTATAAATATAAGTCAACTTACTCATATAAAAGGCATGTCCCAATTGATTTACTGGACCTACTCTATCGAGCCTCTCGTCTCTGGTTGGCTTGTTATTGCTATTAATTGCCAGGGCTTCTGCCTATGGTTCGCGTAATTAGTATGAGCATATGCTATGTGAATCAACTGAAACCTACTTCGTTAACTGTTCGATAGCCAATAAGTATTCTTTCTCCTTGAGCTCTAATAAATAAAAAGCTTAAGGCCAGAAAGATCGGACAAACGTATTGCGATATTAAAACCATATTTAAATATTGCGAGATTACGAAGGAAGAATTATCTGCAAAAGAAGAGGAAAGGAAAGAAGATGAAAATTCAGTGATCGTTAATCGCAGCAGGGGATATGTCTCTCTTCTTTATAATGTACCTATTTGACTAATTATATTCCTGTATCGAAGATCATCCTAAAAAAAAATTCGAATTTACGCTTAGCTAGCTATTCATAGTTTGCAATCTCGTTTTTTTTTAATTTAACGATTTTGACGTGTACGTAGGCACAGATAAACTTTCGTAACGCCCCCACGCCCCCCTGAAATACCTTTTCTTTTTCATGGCAGCTTCGCCCCAAGCCGCTACCATCACGTCGATGATTGGGGTAGATTTTTGACCATGTACAGCTGAGTCGCTGAAAGAGTATTTCGAAATATTTGTTAAGATTGCCACAGCCTCAAAGGTGTCGGTCGGTCGAGATAATCTCTAAATCGTGCTGATCGATGGACCCTAAAAAAATTCCAGAAGTTGGTCCCGGATCGACGCGACCGACAGGAGTACACTGCAAGACGGGAATTCGATGCACCTCTGGAGATCGGAGATCCTCTCAACAGGTGTCGGCGGATGCTCTTCCGAGGTCGGTCGGTGAAGCAAAGCCCTGGCGAGAGACCCGATAGACCCGGTAGGTATTGACGTTGACGTTGACGTTGAAACTTGCGGTTGACGGTTGACAGTTAACAGTTGACGGTTGACGATTGACAAATTGGAGGCGCTCCTTCGTACCCGGCGCCCAGACGTCTTGGTTATGGGCCCCGTCAGCTGAGAATCGAGATTGACGAATCGGTCGGTTACTTGCATGTACGGTACGTTGTATCGTACTGATACGGGAACGATGCTCCTTGCCGGTAACACAGGAAACTGTGTTCGTATACACTTGTACTTGTAAGTACTTGTAATTGGCCAACTGGCTATTCGAAGCCCAGAGTTTCCTTCGCTCTGCGCTTAGATTCAAAGCTCATTCGGTCGTCTCGGTTCCCAACAGAGTTCGGCAGCCAAGTGTATGTAAACATAAAGGTGTAAACTGTAAACGTGGACTCGAACAGGTTGTGTCGGCCCCATCTCCATCTCCCTCTCCCTCCGGTGGGCAGGGCAGGGCAGGGCAGGGCAGGGCAGGCTTTAGCTTTTTCTCTTGCAGAATGCCGCTCCCAAAGCTTTTTTGCTGGACTCTTATGGGCGATTTCTGATCCAATTGGTACAAAAGCGTATCGCTCCACGCTCTACTCAGGCTTTCCCATCAATATCATACAAGGAGGCACAAAGGCTCAAGGCACATCAAACTCCACTCAACACCCCTGATGACAAGAATGAGAGCTCGTCCAGGTATTGCATTGTAGTCGAGTCAATAAAGTTAGCACATCTCAATCTGCAGACATCAACACTTACTGGTGGTATTACCGCTGCCCAAGCTGAGGATGGCGACAAGGCGCTCAGTCGAGGCTCCACTGGATATCCCTACTCTTGCATACGGAGTATTCAGCCTCAGGGAAGGGAAGACGAAATGATCGACGACGACGGCCACGGCCGGCCGCAGGCAGACGATACGGAGCAGACAATGGACAATGCCCCTGTCCTGGGCTCAGCGCAAATCAAGCTGATAGGCGATGCCATGCCATGCCATGCTATGCCATGCCATGCTGTGCCATGCCATTCTGTGCCATTCTGTGCCATGCCATGCTATGCCATGCTATGCCATGCCATACCATACTGCCCCCCATGAATACATGTGGAAAGTATAATTTTGCAAGGGATCTTACCAGGTCTTAAACCGATCAACTTAGTACATCGTACTACGTACTACGTACGTAGTATAAGGATTCATTCAGCCTTAAAAAGTAGCTTTGAGCCAGTATTTTAGTATGTGCAATGGACTTGACAGGGCTTTAAGCCATTCAGAAATCACCGCTCTACGATTTATGGAGCTAAACTGGGTCCGACATTTATTCATGGGGGAATAGTACAGGAAGTACCGGTACCTAGTTGTACCATTCCAATGCCAGCGTTCCCGAAAAGATTTCAGCTCCGAAGCTCACTGGACCGGACTCGACCGCCCTGGACCGCCCTCACTCTTCACCTCAAGAATAGAGGAACAAAATAAGATGGAAAAAGTACTGACTGCTACTATAACTACCACTAACCACATGGCCTTCAGCCCACGTATCATGACGGGGGAGGGGACCCCGGCAAAGTGATACACCTCGCGCGTCTTTCCTCCGAGTCCCCATGCATATCCAGCCAGGCCAGACTACCTATATCCACTGAGAACTTGCATTTTCTAGCAGAACCACTTCCGTGTGCATTTTCTTTTCGTCATGCTAGGAGCCAGCCTCTCTACCATCGGATCTCATTTATTATCTCACTTGTCCCGTCCGTCCCTTTGTGACTCCTTCTCGCGACTCTAACTTCGTCTTCGTCACACATACACTTCGTACATACACACATGGTCACTCACTTACTTAATTTCTGCGAATGGCTTTATGATCGTATATTCCCACTTCGCGGCTCCATCCATCGAGACGGTACCTAGCCTGATATCTCTTGTCGAATTCCATTGCAGAAAAACCTTGGCATTAATCGGGAACCCCCGTTGATATACCAAAGGCTCTACGCGCGTGGAGAAGTAGACGAGAAGGGGTAACCGCACTAGCTGCAAGCTATGTCGAATGCTACAAGACTCGCGGAGCAAGGAATATGCCCGGGCCCATTCTTGCAAGAGGACCTCTTCCCAGCGGCGGGTGGATGTGAGTTATATCACCAGTGAGCCATGGAGAGCCGAGGCTGACAGTATACATACAGTTGTTGACGGCAGGTTCTGTGCCGATATGCTAGGCGGCTCCAAGTGTTGTCTACCTTGTCCACAGACCGACTGGCTTTACCCGGACAACTTCCGGACGATCTCCAATTCCGCTAGTTGGATAAACGTTGGAGGGATGGCGTGCTCCCTGTTCTTGTTGGCATCCTTCGCTTTTCTTCCCAAGGAGAAGACCCACCGGCATTACCTGAGCATATGCCTGGCCGTGGCAATCATAGTAATGCAGGTGAGCCATCCCGAGATCCGGATGATGTGATCATGCTTAGCAGCCTCTCAGCTCGGATTCATTGTGCCCTTGGGGGCACGACCGGAGGCGTGTTACAACGCCATCACTCCGCACGACATGAAAACCAGCACAACCTGTGCGCTCTCGGGTGCCTTCTTGCTCGCGGGGGGCTTCTGCGCTGTGATGTGGATATTCTTGAGAGCACTCGCTCTCCACCTCCAGATCTGCTGGGAAATCGTGATTGGAAAAACGTTCATGTGGGCAGCTCTCGCTACCGGATGGGGGATCCCAGCGCTCATCGTGACAGTGGCCATGATCTTCAGCGGAGTGTCGTTCCGCTTTGGAGATACCTGCCACATCAACCACAAGAACAGCCTGGCCGGTTTCTGGATTCCGCTTCTGGTCTTTGCGGGAATCACGGTTTTCATCCAGTTCGGGACCTTTGCGTACTGCATCAAAGTCTACCTGGCCTCGCTTAGGGATGACTCGACAACGACCAGCAGTTCCGGCTTGAGGTCAAACGCCACCAGTCTGATGGGAAATATCTCGCCTGGACAGGCGTACCGAAGAGTCCGGAGGGTCATCGAACTGCAGTGGCGAGGAATTACAATCGTCATCCTTATCATTTGCGATGTTATCTTTTTCGCCGTCGTCTTTGTCTTTATGGACGATCTCGAAACGAGCGCCGTCAAGAATCCATCGAAGGCCAAGGACTGGCTTCAATGCCTAGCTTTTGGGGGTAGCAAGAACGAATGTCTCAAGCTCGCGAGTAATCTGGTGATCAACCAAGCGACCGTGATGGCTGTCCTCATGCTACTCTCTGTAAGTCGTTGTTCTCTTGACTTGTCCCACGGAACGCTGCTAACTAAACGCTCGGAAAGCTGAATGGGATATTTTCGCTGCTGTTCCTCGGCCGCTACTCCATGTTCGTCGGCTGGTACGAGATAATCATGTGCAAAATGAGGCCCAACAACGAGTTCATCTCCGCCGATGTCCGCGCTTTCAAAGTTCCGGTCTCTTCTTACGAAATGCTCAGCAAAGAACGCGACCGTGGCACCAGAAAGATCCCGGAGCCGATCAAGTCTGACCCTATCAGCCCGCTCTCACCACAAGCCGCCAGAGGCGGGCGCGAGACACCCGACTACTTTGGCCGGGAAGCCCGATACAAGTCACCCTCACATTCGTTCTCCGGCCCTAAGGTACCGGTTGCCCACGCGGCCACGAGTCCGCCGCCCAGAGCTTTTTATCCATATGCTGGAATTCATATGGATCCTCTGTCGATGAACAAAATCTAGCGGCACTCACGTGCAAACAGTTTTTCTTGTCCCATAATGTTGCTGCATTTGAGCGTTTCTGCTGTTCATATATTTTCTTTCTCATTTCTACATCTTAGAGAGCAAGGGCGCCCGGTATCTGAAGGGTCATAATGAGGAGCCAGGGGATGGGCTGGTTTGCACTAGTGAATGAAAAATCGACTGTCGGATGATGATAAGGAGTTGCTTGGGTCACAACAGCCATGCATTTTTTGTCCGGGTAAGGAGGGGATGGCGTACCAAATAGAATCCTGTTGCAGGAGTCGAGGTGGACGCATTAGAATTCCGGAGCTGGAGAGCTGGACGGGAAAAGCGGACTGTATCTATTCAGTTGTGATTAGAGGAGTATATATCGGCATCAGGTTCTTGGTAGGGCACAAGACATAATTTCCATCAGCGGTTCGTTTTCCGTGATACCTATCCTGGGAGAGCTTTCGGTAGGGAAAAACAAACAAGCCTTGCTACCAACGTGCAACCCGCAGGCGAACCCCGGGTCCGAGACATCCACTGGGGGATACCATTTCGAACCGCGGTGAGGTGCGATGTTTGATGCACCGAATTTTCCTATTTTGGCTGAGGTCCTGCTGCGAATCAACGAGTGCGACGAGGATGGTTCTGAGATAGCGGTGTAGATCGATGTACGAATAAGAGTTGGGAATAGATCATTGCAAAAACCTCAATGGCCAAAACGAACATAAGCTACCGTAACTACCAGCTACTACGTACATGCGAGGAGGAATCCTCAAGGCTACCCGAAAAAAAATCGCTTCGAGCTTCCCCGAGTCCGCTGCGGCTTGCTTCCTACCAGAATTTGAAAATCAATCATGGTGTTATCATTATTTAATTGGCCCGGCTTCACTGAGCAGATCCCATCAAAGTTTACAAGAACACTTTCGGGCGGCAAAGCGAAGAAGGAAACCCCCAGAAAGAATATAGACTGGAAAACTTTCCTAGCCGTCGTTACTGATTCGGATATTTACATGGCAGTGTCGTAGATGGAAGGAGACAAATGGCCGTGGAGCAGGGCATGAGAAAGGATGAAGTAACGTAGGAAACCACTCGTTTGTTACCTTTGGCAAGGCGAACTGTCTGGAATGACCAAATGACGAGGCAGGATGATCGGAGCACAGCACGCATGAAGTAAGGTAATTCGAAACATCATCCAAATTTACAACTGGCGTTGGGCTTCAGTGATCTAGAAGTAGTCAGTCGGTGGAATCGCAGAGCGGAATAGGACGGGCAGCTTAGAGATCCGAGAGCAAAACGGGCATCATTGTTCTCCACAGCAGTCCTTTGAATTCCTCAGTCGTGATCTTCCTCCGTGAGACCCGGACAGCCCTCCATTTCCTTGTCGGGGTACGAGAACTTGCACCAGAAGCAGTAGTTATACGCCTCTCGGAGATGAACCACAAGCTTCTGCAACCGGTCGGCCGGGTCCAACGCATTGAAAGCATCCAGGTCGGGATCTTCCTCCTCGAGATCCTCCACAAGCGTATGTTGAACTCGGTCTTTGCCCAGCGCTCTCTTATCGTCCTTGTCCTCATCCTCGTCATTGTATGTGGGCAGCCTCGAGAGACTCTGATGGAGATCATAGCGCATTCTTCGATCTCTTTCTTTCTCCTCGCGCTTGCGAACCAAGCCCCGCCATAGAATATTGACCTGCTTGAGAGGCTTTGTTGAGATTGTCCGCTTCTTGACGTCCTTGGATTGCAAAATTGCAGACGCCTCCTCCTCCTCCTCACGCTCCTCGTTCATGCGCTCTGCGACTCTCATGGCAGATCCAACCAGCCCTTCTAATCTAGCCTCTTCCCTCTCCCTCCTGACCCGCTCTCTGTAATCGCCCTCCTCGGCCTTTACCCTCTTTCCCTCCCTCTCGACCTCTTCCCTAAACTTCCTCTTCTTTTCCGTATCCAGGCCGATACCACCACGATCCTCTTTGATAGAGACCCCAATCGGCTCTGTCCTGGCCCCAGTATTGTTCTTGCTTCCCAACGCGACACCAGGCTTGAATCCCATCTTTGCCATCATGGCCAGTCCCTTATTTGTAGACGCTGCGGGGTCCGTAAGCATCGACTTGGAGAGCGCCTTTTCTCTGGCTGCTTTCTCCTCCTCTGCTAGCTCTGCCTTTGATTTGACTCGGCCCCGTATCTCAGCCTCGCGCTGCAGGCGCCGTCGTCGTTGCATCGACGTCTCTTTGGCCTTTGGCTCTGCAGGGTCTGCGATCACCATATTCATGTAATCATCCTCTTCTTCGTCGAAGATCTCATTGCTCGGTGCAGAATTTTGAGTAGACATCGTAAAGATAATGACAATACAAAGTTCGGTATCTGTTGAAATGACGTTGAGGCGGGAAGTGGCCCTTAGTCAAGGAATTTTGGGATCGTTCGGCAAATCCAGGGTGGTTGTGGGTAAAAAAAACTAGGTTGTACTAGTAACGACCGATTGTCGCTTCTGAATCAAACATACTCAAAAATGCAACTCCAGTGACGCGTAAGTTCGTTACTGCCGTGATCCCAATCATAGGCTAACTTTGCATGCAGAGTGGTTAGCGTGTCGTTCTTATATTCCTCGGGCTACCGATTAATATGAAGTCTTATCTCAAAGATATGCGAAAGTCGTGGGTTCGACACCCACCTGGAGTATTAACTTCGGATTCAATATTTTGGTTCTCTTTTTTGCTTCTTCGTTTCCTCATCTGCCAATACCATGCATCCGGTTTGCATCGTGGATAATCAATTTGTTGTGTTCCTTCGGTATTATATTTTTTGTTTTTCATTCACCCATGGACCATTGCTCTTCGTTCCCTTGCTGAGCAGGGGTGTTCAGACTCATCGAGTTCCCGGTTCTTCCTCTTGCACCACGCAAGAACACAGAAACATATTCAGCTTCTTTTTACGTGGTGTGATTATACTTTCTTTAGTCATATCTCCAATGTCCGGGTCTGCCTCGTGTTTGGCGTATTCGCTATAAGAAGTCACCACGCAATTAACTGAGCTAACAGGTTATTCTATATAATATATACGTACTGGGTATCGAAAACGCTCCTTCTGCTACCATGATTTGTCCATTGTACATTTCTGGGATTCGTTATACAGGTATCCTATCACATACTCTCCTCGCAAAACTACCATACCACACATCCAGGCACGCCCATAGCCTTTGCCGCCTCCATAGACCGTTCAGCAGCAGATCCATTCCCGTCTACCACTCGTTGGTCTACGAATTTCAACAGATCAGAAAGTAGCATCATCGGCTCCTCCAATCTTGCCTTGCCTTCCAGCTGGTCAAATTCGATCCCTCGTTGCCGTAATGCCTCAACTCGCCGATCTTTAAATCCCTGCAAGATCTTGGTCACTTCGGCTATCCTCCTTCGTGAGATAGAAGAGTCCAAATCCAAACGACGCGGCTCACGTCCAGCTTCATCAACGAGGCCCAGGCGGGCAAGCTGAAGCACAACAGCCCTGGCTGTTTCCGGTTCCGGATAGATTGCAAAACGCATTGCTAATGCACGCATAGCCACAGCAGTTCCCGGTCGATCCTGGGCGAGACTAAAGCTTTGGATTATCAATTTGTAAAGCGCCCGAGGAAATTTTGCGTCCGAATCCGTGGGGAAGTTGGCCAACATATCCGCAAAGAGCCCCCGGCACTTTTGGAAGCGCTCGCTCGGGCCAGGTTTGCTGAAAGCTCTAATGGGATCGACTTCCCTTTTCAACAGATTCCAGAGAAGTTCGTACGTGTTTGAATCAGCAGGAATGTGGTATTTTTCTATCGCAGCCTGGTATGTCTCAACCGCCGATTTATGGTCATGCGCTCTCATGTTGGATAACAGAAGTTGATTCAAAAATGCCGTATTGGGCGGTATGGCTGACATACGAAAAGCTTTCATAAGATCGGACATGCTGGCGGGATTTTGACGCCGCCTGTATTGCTCGATGAGAACACAGAAAGTTTCGATTGTAGCTGGCGGCGTAAGGATAATGTTTCTGTTGGAAGGCTTATCTTTTGTTGGAATCATTCGAATATGAGACTCTAGTTTGTTTTCGGTTCGCAGATGTACGAACTTGTTTCTGGCTCTGATCATCCTCCACGCCATCTCATCAGCCATTGCTCTGGAATGTGCTTTCCCATCACGGTACCAAGCACCGATGAGACCGTTCAGCTGTATAGGACTAGGCTCGATCCCACGAATACCCATCAATTTGAAAACTTGCTCGGCTGCTACGAGCTCCTTTTCACTGATGAGCTTCCTGATCCATTTTCCAAAGAAGAATTTGTTGTTCCATCGAGGGGGAAGTCTGCTCAAAGATTGTGCGTCTTCCCACTCTAGCTCTTCGAGGGTAATAGACAGTGATGACAAGTCCTTTGGTCCAGTTGTTGCAGCTTCGTACAGCATGGTGGAATCTTCGTTTGGCGCAGAGTCCTGGCCTGCAAGCATCATATCTTTGAATACTCCAAGTGCCAGGTCGGCCTGGTCCGTAGCCAAAAGCGGAAGTATGACTCCATCATAGTCGTCCATTGTCATGCGAGAGCCAAGGCTCACCCTCAGCCGGATATACAGCGCCCAGGCGCGTTTCACTGACATTGCAGTGCGCGATTTAAGGTACGCCTGGATTACTGGAAGTACGATTCGGAAGGAAGTTGGGTCGGTATTTTTATCTACGTAAGATCTCGCTGCTTCAATTGCTCTCTCGGGCTGTCCATTCAAGGCAAGCATTCGGGTACCCAGCTCCCAGTACGACGTTGAATCTTTCGGAGTATAAACTTCCGTTGCAACATCTTCCCACATCTTGATAGCGCGATCTTGGCTGTCTTCGATGAAGATTGCCTCCATGTAGAGCAAATATTGAGCCGGGTCCAGAGTTATACCTGCTTTAACCATATCATCACCTAGACTTTTGATTCGCGCCATACGGTTCAAATTGTGAACACCTTCGGCATGGAAAATGCCCCAGAGTGAATTCAGAACCAATCTCATGTCATCGGGAGCCAAGTTTCCAGGAGCCGTGATTGCAGTTCGAGACATTGAAAACGCCCTCCACACCCTTTGCAAGTATCTGGACAGTTCTTCATGTTGTGAGAACGATCGCCCTACTCGTTTGCCCCGGCGTCCCCTGTTCGAGGAGACAGGTGCTTTCAGAGCATTATTCAACTCGCTAATCCAGAATTGATCGTCTTCCGGGAAAAGGCTGAGAGGGAGCTGAGGTGTTCCGTTTTTCAAGGTGCTGACACTCGTGAGTTCTGGCTCCGGCGAGAATTCAGGGATGTTTGTAGCCGAGAAGTGTTGGGCGGAGGTCGGAGAGGTGGAAGGGGTATCTGTAGCTGGATTTAGAGGACGTTCTGCCTCAAACACTTTGGGCAGGTCCAAATCGTTCGGGTTCGCAAACTCTTTCCTAATATCATCCTCTAGCTTTGGGTACTCGGCGCTCTTAGCACGCGCGGCCCTCTGAGCATGCAAGCTCTCAAAGAAGCCTTCCACATCACCTGTCATATCCTCCAGGATTTCCTTCTCGAGGGCCTCCAGTGTCGCCTCATCATCCAGCGGATCTTCGATTTCAGTCCGGACCCCATCTGGCGTTTCTTCGAAATATCTGACTGCACCTCTCGGTACCCCGCCCGGTCTGGAAGGTCCATGTTCTGCGTCCCTCCGCCTTTCTCGAATGACATCCTCCATTGTCTCAAAGATTTGAAGATCCTCGAGATCTTCTGCTTCTGCTAAAGATTCGGCTGCCGGATCCTGAGACTCTCTGGCTGGGGACTTCAGCGTTCCCTCGGCCTCCTTTGGCCTCCTGGGCCCGGCATTCGTGTTGATATTCCTTAGATTCCATTGCAAACTTTGCCGCTTGGGGGCCTGCAGTTTAGATAAGCATAGCCGGCACACATGTCCTCGAATTTTGGAAGCCAGGAGGTGTTGTGGTGGCGGCATGTGTGTATAGGCGATGTTGAGTTGAGTTGTGGTCGGATTGGTAGACGAGGCTCGAGACGGGACGGAGCTTTTTTTTTTCCCCCGGAGTTAATGTCACTACAGCTCCGTACACCGAGCTGGCGCGTCTCCCTGGTCGAAGCGCGCCCAATAATTCAACCTCAACCACAAGCATATCAAAGTCAAGGCTAACAAATGTCTGAGATCGACGAAGCAATCAGCCATGCAGGCTTTGATGCTGCGGATCATCAGGTTCGTTGCATTATTCAGATAATTGACTCTGCTCATTAACTCCTAGACCGCCTACGTCTACGCTCCTGCTGCTGATCCGGAACAATCTGCAAGACCCTCGAAGAGAAGGAAAGTATCCAGATCACGAAGCTCTGTCACTACTTATGAGGACGTCAACTGCCTCACTTTCGAGCCATTACTCGAAGGCCTCGAGACCCTTGAATGTGCGAATCTGCGCAAGATGCATTTCGAAAGGGCGTGGTCGTCTACAGAGGGGCGGATTCAGGTACGAACTTGGAAACGGGCTAAGAGACCAATGACTAAATACAGGCAGACCATCTTAGATGAGGCGAACGAAGGGACCGTGGCAGAGGTTACAGCTTTTGTCAATGAAGCAAAACAGGTAGAGTAAGGTAACCCCAGATCTCCGGAGACCATCGACTAATGTATGCAGCATGGATTCGTCGCATCTTGCAACGGGGTTTGTTGTGACTGGGCCAAACATCACATCTCAGGGACTTCTTTTCAGCCAGCTCTCTACACGGTTGAGAGAGGAGGCCAATGGGCCTGTGGTCGTCCTACGTTCAGGAGATGCGTCCAATCTGAAAGCAGTTCTGAAGAAGCTCATTCGAGATGCTACCAATCAAGATTCCGGCGAGGATGACGAAGATGAGAACATCGCATCGCAAAGAGATGTATGTTCCTAGACCAGGCTGAGGAAGGAGGATTATGCTAATCTGCTAGGGACGGAAATTACTTAATTACGATTTGGAAATTCTTCACGGTTATGTTGAGTTGCACAGCAGTCGGGCAGTGGTTATCGCATTCCAAGACAGTGAAGCTTTCGATTTTAACCTAGTAGCCGATCTCATTGGGATTTTCAGGTTAGGTTCTCCAATTCTGCTTTATCAGGAGCATTGGCTGATCTGTATAGCTCCTGGAGAGATCGCATCCCTTTTGTGCTCCTCTTCAGCATAGCCACTTCAGTTGACCTGTTTCACGAAAGACTTTCGAGAGCCGCAAGCCGTTGCTTGGAAGGCCGCCAATTCGATGTTGAACAGACTAGTTCTCTGCTTGACAGGATGTTTCAAAAAGCTGTTGCTGGTGTGGAAGCACCCCTGCGATTAGGTGCTGGTTTATTGTCCAGTTTAATAGACAGGCAGGAAGACCACGTTCAGAGTATTCAGTCGTTCATAGCTGCGCTGAAAGTAAGTCTTTGAGCTCATGTCCTTTACAATTTAGACTGACTGTAATATGAAGTTCGCCTACATGTGCCATTTCTATGGCAACCCATTAAGCATCTTTACCGGTGTTTCTGACGATGACGATGCATCGATCATGAATCTTGTCCAGCCTCAACATCTCGAATTGATACGCATGCTTCCATCATTCAGAAAATTGTCGGAAGACTTGGTGGATGCTGGAGAGACGAACGAAGTGCAAAATTTACTTGAGGATGACAAGACTTTACTCCGCGAGGTAATGAACCGTCTTCAGTCAGGGAACGCTGAAATTACTCGTGTTTTAAGAGCTATGCACTTGGTGGCGATTTGCTCGCTCAAGCCTGTCACTATGATTGAGCTCTATATAACAGTATTTCAAGGGAATTTTATCGATTCCGACTTTATCAGGTCTATTCTTGACTCTGTCAAGCAAATGGCACCGGAAGATCTAGTCGAGTTTATTCGGAAAATTAGGGATCGTATACACGAAGGATTCTTGCCAATGGACCTGGATGGATGGGCTGATCATGATGCCGAATTTGTCGGCGATCTGGCAGAAGTCCAGACTCAAATATCTTCGCTGCTTGAAGACTCCAAGGCGAACGGAAAACCCGTCCGAAGCAGCTATGCTATCCACAGCAAAGGCGTGCGGACCACTGTGATTGCACAGAGAGTCCAACTCAGCTACGAGAAGTCGACGCTGTCTGGACAGGATAAGGAGTTCACAACTTTAGTCGACCACCTTTCCCAGATTTTGCTCGACTATTTCACTATCGAGAACCCAAGGGAGATTTTTCTGAACGAAGTCTGGCTCTTCAATTCGACTTCGCCATATACCCAGTACTTCACCCCTCGGCCACGTGAGAATATAGAGCAGGCTCTGTCTGCACCATACCACTACCTAAACTGTCAATGTTGCGAACCATCTGAAGGCCTGTCATCGACCCACCCTGCGACTGCCATCTTGTACCAAATGTACTTGGAAACCGGATCTCTCATTAATATCTTTGATCTATGGTCTGCATTTCTGGAAATGATCAGCGGAGGTGACGATCAAAAGGTTGACGAGAGGGATGCGTTAGTCTTATTCTACATGGCTCTGGCGGATCTCAAATCACTGGGTATGATAAAGCAGAGCAAGAAGAAGGCGGACCATCTGGCTAAGGTAGCATGGAAGGGCCTTTGAAAGTTTGTATAGTACTGGATGCGATACGAAATTACACACAAATAATATTTCCTTTCGTTCTCGGGGACGATTGATGGTTCTTTTGTGTTTCTGAAAATTGCAAGGTTATGTTCCCATATTACCAATGTGAGGAAGAGAAATTGACAACAGTCAATTGACCGTACCGCGTATTTATGCATTCATGATCCTTGTATTATCTCTCTCCGCTACTCCGCTGACGCATGCAGGTGACGACTGTTCTTGGGATGGTCAAGCTATCGGCAATCGTAGGCAAGCAAATGATTTCATTCTCGAGCTTCTTACTTGAGTGACAGCAGAGAACATTCAGTATTCCGCTCTTGATGAAAGGCGGCTCGGATTCCCCTGCAGAAGCCTCGCATCTGCGCCCGAACGGTGAGCCTTTTGGATATGGCTCTTGACCTATGCGAACGGAAGACAAGCCACACACTTCTCACAATTGCAATTTTTTAATTTTTTTTTTCGCTGCCTTTCCCGTTACTCTCTCTATTCCTGATGGTCATGGTCGACTTCATTGCCATTAGAGCCGACGCAATATAGCGAGTCAAAGTCGCCACTTTAACTCCCCTCGTTTGAAGCTTGCATTGGCCGCGCGCAGAAGGATGTTCTTTACCTGATTCTTCCCGGGTGACTCGCCTATTTATTCATGTTGGAGTACTTCACAGAGCAAATTGGCTGTTTACGAGACTCGTAGCGCCTTCTGTTGCTACCTTTCCCTCCTAAATGCCACCACACCTTTCACTATGAAATCCCTATTAGCTTGAGAATCTGATCAATACAGAAAAAAGATCGACTTAAAGCTGATGATCCGATTCTCGTTGCCGTCCAATTGATATAATTACCATCATTCAATGCGCATAATATTAAGGTCAAAGTGCAGTGCCATGGGGAAGTCGTGAAAAATTTTGATTGGTATGTTCTCTAGGAAGAGCAGGAGTAGCATCTCAAAACATTAGTGACATGCGAGAAAGGGAGAAACCCCCGTAAATGGTTCAGTCATCATCAGCATCAAAAGAGGTGTGGAGGAAGGTCTAGAAAGGAGAGTGAAGCGAGGGAAATGATAAGCGAGCAAAGACGAAAAGGGTCGTTGAGGCAAGCCTGTGAAGGAATAATAAGTGGATATATAGTTACATCGAGACGGGCAGGAGAGAGAAAACTTCCTAAGTCAACAGAAATCAATTGCTAATAAACCCATCACATAAAAGCACTGCAAGCTAAACAAACACCAACCAAAAGAAAAACCAAAAAAACTCCCGGCTCGAGTCTCCCAGCATCAATACCACCGCGTCTTCCCCCTCATCTTCTCCTCCTCCCCTGCCCTCTCCCGCTCCTCCCTCACACTCCGCAAAATCTCCTCCTCACTCAGAACCCGGACGGGACTCTCGCACCCCCGGAGTCCAATGAAGCGCCCGATCCGCCGACGCTTCTCGTCGAGCGTGGCGTCAGTCTTCCACTCTACCGGGCACGGGTAGTGGCGCGTGTATGCGGACGGCGTGCGCTGGTGGTAGAAGTGGGCCAGCTCGTCGCATTGCTCCGACGTCAGGAGCCAGAAGTTGAGGAGCGTGGAGGGGAATATGGGATGGACATCTCCGGTGGTGAGTCGCACCAGTGGAGCGAGGGGGAGAGCCATCTGTCTGATTTTGGCTTCCAGGGCTGGGTTTTGGGAGCGTGCAGATTGCATTTTTTTTTTGGAAAACGACGGTTGTTGTTATGTGTAAAGTAGTAGGTAGTGAGCAGTATGTAGATGCAAGGAGTGCTTCTATGTGTGTATGAGTGATAGGAGAGTATAAATGCTGTAAGGAGTGATCGTATGTGTATGAGTGATAGGAGAGTATAAAAGCTGCAGGTCTGATGTGGTGTTCAATGAAGGTGTGTTGTTTCGATAGCTGCCAGCAGCCTAGGATTGTCTGGAAATGTGTAGGAGACTGTAGAAGGGAAAACAAATGAGACGATTTGAGGATGCTGGATGAAGGTGGAACACGCTTCTTGTATGGAGTCGCAGAGGCTTTGTGATTCTCCTTCTCTTTATTCTCGAGGCTCAACCCAGAGTCATTCTCGCTGGAGACTGGGTTCTATTTTGGGAGAGGATATCTTTGTTGTCTGGAAAGCTTCTTTGTGAGACACTTTTGTCCACATGGGTGACTTGATACAAAGATAATGTAAAGAATCAATAGACAGCGTGGAATTTCGAGGCTGAGTCGACCAGGAGCACAAGCCCACTCGGATTCCGGCGTACCACGATAGATTTGAAATTCATGAGTCCGATAGTCATTCATTCGAGGTCAGAAGAGCCAAGACATCGTCCCCTCCGGTATGCTCCTACTAGTACAGCGGTATTCCAAAGCACCTCAACGCCCTATGCCTATTTCAAATTCTCAATTTACAGATGCTCCAGAACCTGAGAAGAGATCTATTTCTTTCCCTTCTTCTTTCTCATACTTCCTTTGTCGTTTACGGTTGGACCATCACCCTCTACCAGAACTGTATCATCATCGCTTCCAACCTTGCTTCCTGGAGTCTTGGTGGCACGTGAGGAAGGGGCGTCTATCTCCTTCATGAACTCTGCTTGAATGGACGCTCGTCGCTTCTCCCACCACTGCTTCTCGGATTCTGTCTGGGCCTCAATCTCGGCTAATCGGGTTCGGAAAATCGTATTGGCGGCAACTTCATTTGCAGATTGGAAGATAGATTGACCCCAGTTTGGGGAGAGACCGTTGGCCTCGAAAATGTTAGCAATCAGCCATGAGAACAGTCGCCTCGCCACTAACCTCCAACACCACATCTCTGAGCTCCTCTTCCATCTCCTTCTCAGCCCTCAAGAATCGCTGCCAAAGATCATCCCCGACACTGCCACGTTGCAGAAGTGTACTGCATGCCTGCTTTGCGGTCCTGATTTGTATGATTCTTTGGATATCCTCGACAGCGCGTTCCAGAAGGGCAGAACGTAAGACACTCTCTGGAACTTTAGGCGCCTTCTCATTGCCTTCCTCGGGCTCCAGATGCAGCAGAGATAGATAGATATTGCGTTGCATGTGTGGTGGGAACCACGGCGCCAGAGTTGCAGAAGCAGCTACCATTGATTAGCAGATGCGCGCTTGGCTGACACAATAAGCTGGCGCTGACCTGCTTTTCTCTTTCTATACACGTTGGAGAAGGTGGTCAATGAACCAACGAGAACGGCCAGGTATGCGAATGGCATAGCCAGTCCCAACCAGTCGACATCTAGACTGAACATAGTAGCGGCTGTCCTCTCGGGCTGTGAGAATCAGGTGCTTATTCGGCTTATTCGCGAGAGAGGGTTCGGCACGGTTTAATGTCTCCTGGGCTGTTTGTTTACCCTGATGCCCTGATGGAGATTTCGTGGGTGGTAATGAGATGATGGTTGGTTGTCTTGCTGGTCTTACAGCTTGAACGAATGCCTTTAGGGAAATTATTGAAGCCAGGTAATGGGATTCGCTTTGCCATGGTGGCCTCGGGACGCGGCCGCTTTAACTCTGTACCATGAACTAGCGTGGATGATTAACCGAGTAAAAGCCGGAGCTTTGACCAGCGTAGGTGGGGCGAGGGCGAGTAGTTACCTAGGTCGGTCCAGCACAATAACTACGTATAGCTTCGAGCCTATTCAGTTCACTTCTGGATGCATGGCCGACCGACATTCTTCTCTATCCACGCCTCTCCTCCTCTCCTAGTTTTCTGCTTTTCTCTTCCCTCATCACATACCCTCACTCATCAAGTCTGAGCAATCCTACTTCGATTTTTCATTTCCTGTCTCCCATTCGCATTCCCTCAATCAGTTCCATCACCCTACAACCCAATATGCTACTCAGATTCCGAGGTCCTGATGGGACAGTGCGACTAAATGTCGAGTCCGCAGATACATTTGCACAGCTTGGGGAGAAAGTCAGTACATGATCTGTGAATGATGAGTCTAGACTGACATGGCTCCAGCTTTCACAAGTTCTGCCAGCTACCGTCGACTTCAATACCTTGACTCTTGCAAACCAACCAGCTGGAGGAGAGATCAAACCACTCAAAGATATCGCCAGACACCTGGTCTCACAGATAGGCTTGAGGTGCGATTAGCTCTCCTACCCCGAAATTCAAACCCCACTAATCCTTTTTTTTTTAAAAAAAAAGCCATGGCGATATCATTTTCATAAACTACAAGCACACCAGCCGCATGTCAAACGGCAACGAAAACGGCGACTCCGAACAGTCATCCGCCATTCTCCAATCCTCTACAAATCGCCTGAATGGCCAGATGATCTTGCCAACCGAAGATATTCCGATAGACCCTTTGCCTGTCACTTCGCCCTCAGAAAAGATCAAAAATCCTTGGGAGGTGGTGAGGCAGTCGGCAGTGGATGATAGACTGGACAGACAGAATGGCAAGATCCCTAGGAAGCGAGACGTCAAGATGTGTAGGCACGGTGAGAAGGGCATGTGCGACTACTGTATGCCGATGGAACCATTCAACGCGGAATATCTGGCCGAAAAGAAGATCAAGAATCTCTCCTTTCACTCCTACCTACGAAAGATTAACTCGGCCACCAACAAGCCAGAGTTAGGAAGCTCTTTCATGCCGCCTCTTACTGAGCCCTACTACCGAGTCAAGCCCGAATGTCCTTCAGGTCACCCGCAGTGGCCAGAAGGTATCTGCACAAAGTGCCAACCTAGTGCCATCACATTACAGGCACAGCCCTTTCGAATGGTAGACCATGTCGAATTCGCAAATTCTACTCTCATCGAGAATCTTCTCAACTTTTGGCGTCAGACTGGTGCTCAGCGAATTGGCTACCTGTATGGGAGATACACAGAATATACCGAGGTTCCCCTAGGCATCAAGGCGGTCGTTGAGGCTATCTATGAGCCACCCCAAATCAACGAAGTCGATGGCGTGACTTTGCTGGACTGGCAAGAAGAAAGCCTTGTTGAGGGAATAGCCAGACAATGTGGACTCCAAAAGGTGGGAGTAATTTGGACAGATCTCTTGGATGCTGGCGCAGGTGATGGTTCGGTCGTATGCAAGCGACATATCGATTCCTATTACCTTTCGTCGCTCGAGATCGCATTTGCCGCCCGCCTTCAAGCACAACACCCGAAGCCCACGAAATGGAGCGATACTGGCAGATTTGGCTCTAACTTTGTCACTTGTGTGGTATCAGGTGATGAAAAGGGACAAATCGCTATTTCATCTTACCAGGTATCGAACTCGGCTGTTGAAATGGTCAGAGCGAACATCGTCGAGCCTTCTGCCGATCCCACAGTCATGCTTGTCCGAAACGAGGAGGAGGATGATGGCTCCATCAGCCGTACACGTTACATTCCAGAAGTGTTCTACAGGCGGATCAACGAATACGGAGCAAGTGTACAAGAAAACGCAAAGCCGTCATTTCCTGTCGAGTATCTCCTTGTCACGTTAACACACGGCTTCCCTGACGCTCCGAAACCTATGTTTATCGCGGCACCTGGTTTCACTATCGCAAATCGTCTCACTCTTGGCGAAGAACAAGACAAAAAGACCCTTGCCAAGCGTATCGGTGTGGATAGAGCGGGCGAGGTCAAGAATGCCGATGGGGCTTTACGAGCTGTATCAGATTTCCATCTACTCTGCTATTTGAAGAAGGAATATGTGAACCTCTTCGAGAAGGCGAGTTTGGTGCTTAAAGCGCTTTTTCACGATTGTACTGACATTCTGTAGGAAGACGAGGCCCTTCTGTACCGCGTGGCCACGAAGCACGATCTCGCAGAAGGCTACCAATTGCTATCCACCGGTGCATGGGCGGCAATGGCTTTGGATTTATCACAAACTGGTGAGAGACCCCTCAAGAGACCATCGCCTGATGACGGCGACGAGTTCAACGAGCGCCTTGCTAAGAGGGTTGGTGGGGTAAGGCTAGATTCATGACAACTCTACGCTTAATCCTCGTTGATTTTATAGGAATTTTCATGACATTCGGATAGATATCGAGCTTTTGAGGCGAAGGAGTTTCAGCTAGATACTTGAGGTGTGCAACCTGGGCGGAATATGGTGCTTGGTGGCGCAGAAAATGGTTCTGGGAGCATTGCAGGTGGTGCATGCATGAGTTACGCACATGAGTGTGCTGGCGGTGATACCTGAATGAATGCGGAAATTCCTCGACAATTCATTCCTCTCTTGCGGTGTGACATTGGTTTTTACTGATCAGTCAGGAATTTCCTTGTCACCAATCTCGTTCCATGGTCCTTCGGGTAAAGTTTCAAGAAGGACTCGGAAAATTGAAGACGCAAATTCAGATTGACTATGGATAATTGATCACATCCAATGCATTTATTTAGAGTCGTTTTTTCAGAGGGGGGATACTCTCCAGGTCTCCTTGCGGCAGCCCCCATCTTCAAAGTTGTTTTCTAATATCACTCTCACTGGGGTGGATTACATCAAATTCCTCATATATACCAGAGCCGCGTGGCGCGAAGCTGGCCGCCATCCAGGAAAACACGTAGACAGCCTCAGTAGCGGAAAATCTCATATGAAGACTGAACGTTGTACAGAGCCAGTTGGCAACTCTACGCCGAATAGCGAGCAATCTCGTAGCGAAGTCTCTTCGAAGGTTCAGGCAGGATGGCCCGAATAAATCCGGGAAAAGTATCAATTCAAAACAAGAAAAGGATCCATTTCAGAAAAAAGTGCTGTATATTTGCCATGATTATCAAGCCGACCACCACCAAACATCTTCGCCGAAAGTTTTTAGCCTTTTGTTTCGCAAAAAGCTAGCTCGGTAAAAATCACATCCCCAAACCAACGCCCCGAGAACCAAGCAAGTAAACGAAGAGCCGCGAAAATACTCAAATGAAATTTACAGAGGCTTGCCGCCTATGAAATCAGACCATCTGCGGACCTCACCTGGAATTCCTTCCTGGCGGGGAAGCTTCTCGCTCATGCAGCGAGCGAAGAGCTCGGCAGTCTGGCACATGCGTTAGAAGATTTCGGGAAATTTATGGAAAAGGGAGCCTACCTTAGGCTCCATGAAAAGGGGAACGCCGAAGTCAACGGCGTTTCGTCGCATCACATAATCGACATCAAGAACAGTCTTTCCACGGGCTGCAGCCAAGTTGAAGACACCGCGGATATCGTACTTCTGAAATACTTCTCTAAGAGCGCGCTTGTCCTCGGTGGGGAACTCGATGACTTCGACCTTGACCTTGTTCTTGGCTGTCGACTCCAGAAATTCTTTGACTTCAGGCTCGGCAGCGTAGAGCTTGTATCCGAGAGGGGAGATGTAGTCGACGATTGATACCAGAGATCTCTTTGAGACGTCGCCACCGAAGAGGAGACCCTCTCCTGGCTCTGGCATGCGGAAGTTCATGGTAGATTGCAGGGATGCCCAGTAGGCCTCGACGAGATCCTTTCCGAAGCAAGCGATCTCACCGGTGCTGGACATTTCGACGCCCAAGAAGGGATCGGCTCCAGCGAGGCGGGTCCAGGAGAATTGAGGTACTTTGGTGGCAACGTAGTCACGCTTGATGGCCATGAGATCAACAGGCTCTGGGACGTTGACACCAACGAGTGATTTAGTTGCGACGTCAATGAAGTTGAGCCCGAGGACCTTGTTGAGTTAGCACGACTGTTCGTATCATGACACATTAAACATATCTGAAGGAGCGGATCAAAATACCTTGCTCACGAATGGGAATGAACGGGATGCACGCAAGTTGCATTCAATGACCTTCAATTGGGGAGGACCTCCAGCTGGATCGGCAGCCTTGATGATCTGCATGTTGAAGGGTCCAGTGATGCTCCAGGCCTTGGCAACCTTGACAGCAATTTCCTTGACACGATCCATTGTGCCTTGATCCAGAGAGACAGGTGGGAGAACCAGAGTGGCGTCTCCGGAGTGGACACCAGCCTCTTCCACATGCTGGCTCACAGCACTTGAACGAGTCAGCATTACGTCAACCTAGTAGAAGGGACGACTTACTGAACAATGAGCTTGCCGTTGGCACCAACAGCGTCAACATCAATCTCCTCTGCACCTTCGATGAACTTTGAGATGACAACCGGGTGGTCAGGCGAGACATTGCTAGCGGCCTCGAGCTTGTCCTTGAGCTCGTCCTTGCTGCGGATGACAGTCATAGCGGCACCAGAAAGGACGTACGAAGGGCGGACCAAAACTGGATAGCTGACCTCTTCAGCGAAAATCTCGGCATCAGCGACGGAAGTAAGCTCCTTCCAGGCAGGCTGATCAACCCCAATGCTGTCGAGTATCTCGGAGAACTTCTGTCTGTCTTCCGCCCTGTCGATGTCGCGGGGGTCGGTTCCAAGCACCTTCGCACCTCCATCCTCTTGCAGACGGAGAGCAATGTTCTGTGGTAATTGTCCACCAACAGAAACCACAACACCAGTGGAGTGCTCGAGCTCACTTTGTAACCGTTAACTTGACTTCCAACATCAGTAGGACATAGGAGACTTACTATATGTCCATCACGCGCTATAAGAAAGTTAGCATTACCTTCATGAAGTCAAGGATAGTTTAAGGAATATATACCTCGTAGCTGAGCTCCTCGAAGTAGAGCTTATCGGCGGTATCGAAATCGGTAGAGTAAGTCTGTTTGACCGTCAGCAAATCATGCTTCGCAGATTAGCTGGGAAATTCAGTACTTCAGGGTTGTAATTGATCATCACAGTCTTCTTGCCCATTTCTCTGAGAGCGAGGGTAGCCGAAGTGGTGCACCAATCGAATCTAGTAGGAATTAGCGGATTGCAAGAAGTTTGAGAAGATCTACTCATACTCAACACTGGACCCAATGCGATACACTCCGCTGCCCAAGATAATGACTTCACAATTAATCAGTAGATGTTCCGAATGTGATGGGCGCTCTCTGCAAAATCAAGCGAGTCCGAATCGCGTCTTTGAGATAGGTGGAGAATTTAGGAAAGAGCAGAAACTTACTTCCGTGATCATTGAAAGTTACATCGTGAGTAGTGGCGTTGTAGGTGGTGTAAAGGTAGTTAGTGTCAGCTAGTCAAAATTAGTACAAGTTTCGTCCGTTTTAAAGATCCACGAGAACACTCACCGGGGAACTCAGCGGCAAGGGTATCAATCTTCTTGACGAAGGGAGTGATCCCAAAGTTCTTGCGACGAGCACGGACTTCGTCCTCGGTGCACCCAACAGCGTTGGCGATTTGTCGGTCAGAGAACCCCATCTTCTTCGCCTTCATCATGAGCTCTTTCTTGATACCAAAGAGACTTCCTATGTCCTCAAGTTCGTGGGTACAGTCCACAATGTTTCGGAGCTTGTACAAGAACCACTTGTCGATCTTGCTCAAATCATGAATGCGGTCAACGGTGTAACCCTCGTGAAGCATAGCTTGACCAACAGCCAACCAGCGACGATCAGTAGGGTTCGCAAGCTCGTAGTCCAGGTCGTCAAATTTGTCGCCTTGAAAGCCTACGAAACGAGGGTCAACTTGGCGGATGGCCTTTTGGATAGACTCTTCGAAGGTACGTCCGATAGCCATAACCTCTCCGACAGACTTCATGGCACTCCCAATATCACGCTTGACGTGTTGGAACTTGGCAAGATCCCATCTGGGAATCTTGGTGACAACGTAGTCCAAAGAAGGCTCGAAGTTTGCGGTAGTGGTCTTGGTCACAGCATTTGGCAGTTCCGGGAGGGTGTGTCCGAGACCAATCTTGGCGGCGGTATAGGCGAGGGGGTATCCGGTGGCTTTAGAAGCAAGAGCAGATGAGCGAGAAAGACGAGCGTTGACTTCAATGACACGGTAGTCAAGTCCATCTGGTTGCAAAGCGTATTGGACATTGCATTCTCCTACGACGCCCAAGTGACGAACAATCTTGATAGCAGCAGAACGTAGCATGTGATATTCCTCATCGCTCAAAGTCTGACTGGGAGCTACGACGATAGAGTCACCAGTGTGGATTCCAAGAGGATCGAAATTTTCCATGTTGCAGACCGTGATGCAGTTGTTACTAGCATCTCGAACGACCTCATATTCAACCTCTTTCCAGCCCTTCAAAGATTTCTCAACCAAGATTTGGGGAGACAGGGTAAGAGATCTGGCAGACATGTTGCGGAGCTCTTCCTCGTTGTTTGCGAATCCAGAACCAAGTCCTCCGAGAGCATAGGCAGCTCGGACAATGATCGGGTATCCAATGCCCTTAGCAGCCTCCAAGGCCTCGTCCACGGTACTGACAGCAATTGATTGAGCGATTGGTATATTGATCTCCCCAAGAGCCTTGGCAAAAAGGTCTCTGTCTTCACTGGTCTCGAGGGTCTTAATGCTAGTACCCAAAACCTTGACACCGTAACGTTCAAAAATCCCCATACGCTCCATTTGCACACCCAAGTTGAGGGCGGTCTGGCCACCGAAAGTAAGGAAGATCCCATCAGGCCTCTCTCGCTCGATAACGTATGTGACATATTCCGGGGTAACTGGCAGGTAATAGACTTCATCGGTGAGTACGTGGGCGGTTTGGATGGTAGCAATGTTTGGGTTGATGAGCACGGAAGCAACACCAGCTTCTTTCAAGGCCTTCAATGCTTGAGAACCTTGAGTCAAAACGTTAGTTCGATGGTTTGGTTATGATCTTCATCTTCAGGAACACTTGAAGTATATCCTCTTGTGACTCATACTGCAGAGGGAGGAAAGCTGGAGGACTGACCAGAATAATCAAATTCTCCCGCTTGTCCGATGCTCAAACCACCACTGCCAATTACCAGGACCTTCTTAACGTCCACTGGGTTTGCAGCCCCCTTGATCACCCCGCTTTGTAGGTATGCCTCGGCGTTAGGTGCGGTCTGGGACTGGTTCTTCTTGACGGAGGAGCTCGAGAGGAGCCGGACCAAGCCAGCATGCTTGCGAACAGGAGCCGGGCTGCGGGCATAGAGAAATCGAGTCGAGGCTCGAGTGGTGAAATTCCTAGCAGGACTGGCAGAAGCAGCCCCGATCTGACGGAAGAGGGAGCTGCTCGTTCGACCTGCAAAGCGGACGGAGAGAGCCATTGTGGAAAGGGTGGACTTCAATTAACGGCGTAATGTTGAAGGAAAGTCCAACCACCGTGTCTAGCTCTGTATACTCCCCGAGATGTGTCGGCGAGTCGTGGTTGTTGACAATTTGGGTCTCTGAATTCGAGCTGGGATCTCCAACAGTGATCACCAAGCGGTCTGATGGTAGTAGTTCGCTGATAACGAGGGTGTTGACTTGGTCGAGGCAAGACGTCAACTGGAATCAGGCTCGAAATCTCTCAGCATGGTCAATTGCGGAGGTTGTCGAGCTTGTAGAGTGAGAAGAACGTGGAAAGGATAATCTCTGTTGCTTATAGGGGAGAGGCAGATAAAAAATTGTTCGAAGCGGCTGGGCCCCTCGCCCACCATCATCCCAGTCAATGGCGGCCAAGAATTTTTTTTTTTTCACTTTTTTTTTTTCTTCCCACTTGGGCCGCCTGACTCAACTATACTGTATACGGGAGTTGCTCGGGAAAAGTCTGCCCTGGGGCCTTGTAGATCGTAGAGGGCATCTTTGCCGCGTGTATTATTGTTATAACATAGGTACTTAAGGTACTTACCTAGGTACCTGGGTATGCTTGCTCGCTAGTCCCGGGTCCGTGGGCGTGTTCTATACGGAGTACCAATCATCAGAGCACAAACCCCTCCCTTAAAGAGGACGAATAACTGCAGTGCAACTCAAGCTACTTTCAAAAAAAATCCTCGAGAGCCGCCCTCGCACATGCAGGCTTGCTTCTCTTATCTTTCACTCTGACGATTGTGTCGCCAGCATAAAGGTAATGTCCCCAAGTATCGATTGCCCATCCTTGAAGTTCTTTTCTCATCAATATGATTTCTTGTTGTACACGATTGTCTACCGTCCAGGGAGTATGAAATTAAAAATGCTCCCTCACATTTTGATGCACGGTAGCAAAGCGACGGTACCGGTGATCGAATGAGTTCAGAGACGCCAACAATTTTCTATTTTTTGACGCATCATCATCTACGTCTTCTCTAGTCTCACGGCTGGGTTTCGCTCGATGAAAGACAAATCCACCCTGTGTCCCAGCAACTCTCGAATATTGTTCACCTACCCACGTATCAGTACACTTCACCACCCACTCTGAGATATTACTTGCCTTGTACTTAATCATGGTTGGCCGCTCCAGAGACAAGCCCCACCCAAAGACACGCATGTCCTTAGGCAAGCCCATAGCCTCCAGCATCTCAGGTCTGAACATACCACTGTTGCCGATTTCGACCAGCTTATTCAACCCCTTGTGGAAGCTGAAGATTTCCATACTTGGCTCAGTGTACGGATTGTATGCCGGCTTGAAGCGGAGATCCTCAATACCCATCTTGTTGAAGAAGATCTCCATGAATTCCATTAGCCCACCCAAAGACAAGCCGTAATCAGCAATGACACCCTCGACCTGGTGGAACTCGGCAAGATGTGTTGCATCAACCGTCTCGTTACGGAAAACTCGGTCGATGGAGAAGTATCGTGCTGGAGGTGGTCGTCCATCAGGGCCCTTTTTAGATGCCAGCTTGTGGAGGATTGCTGTGGAGATGGCCGTAGTATGAGTTCTGAGAACTAATCGAAGTGACTCATCCTCAGCCCATGGATATCTGTAACCGATCGACCCATACTTTCCTTCTTGATGAACCTCTTGTACATTTTTCCAGTATGAGTCGTAGTCGCCCTTATCCTCTTCCGATTCAACGTGTGGTTTGTCTGCCACTTTTGGGTCTGAAATGTAGAAGGTGTCTTGGAGATCACGAGCAGGATGCTGTTGGGGGACGAAGAGGGCATCAAAATTCCAGAAACCGGTCTCAACGTAGCGGTTGGTCGGCATTTCCTCGAATCCCATCTCGAAGAAGATTTGTCTAAATTCGTGTCGGACCTTGTTTAGGGGATGTAGGGCACCAGCGTTTTGGTCTGCTCCTAGTGACTTGAAGTTGTATGGCTTGAAAGCAGCAGTCTTCCAAGCACCGCTGTAACAGTCAGACCTGTCACATTTTTGAACTTGAAACTTACGAGGCAAGCATGTCAGCCGTCAAGTCGGTCTCTTCCTTTACAATTTCAAGTCCGAACTTCGGCCCCTTATGGATTTTGTAGGCAATGACCTTTAGCATCTTGACCAATTTCCGCTTCTTCAAGTCTGTAATAACCTTAGAATCTGGATGTGTCCGCGTTTGTTGTATAGTCTGGAGCTGCTCGCGGGTTATGTCTTGTATTGAGTCCGTCTACTACTGTCAGACCTGCCCCAGAAGCAATGGCGGGGTACAACTTACAGACGCCACCAGACGACCCCCCTCGCCCTTCGAAATCCATCTTGACTTGAAAGCCTTGCCTTGCCCGACCTTTACCACATTTTTGTCCCCCACAGCAGCCTCGAGTTCCGCGATAGTAAGGCCCCCCACTGCCCTTGAGAGAGCCTCGAACACTCGCGCTTCGTGACTTCCATTCGCTTCAATTTCCACAGCCTCGGGTTCAAGAACTGCCTCTTCTCGGTCGATTGTCTCGTACGTGACCATAGAACGCGATGCAAGTCGGTCTAATGCGCTCTTGACATCCGCCGATTTTTGTGTAGGGAAGACTTCCGATGACAGGATAGGTTCATTTTGGTCGAGGGTTTGGAGAATCTGCGTGGGTAAGTCGCCTTGCGAGGTAGTCTGACCGCTCGCCATCGTATGGAAGACTTGCGCACTATCTGGAGAGCAGCGCAGAGTCGTGGGTTTTACTTACCTCTCTATGACTCGAATTGAAGAGGCCCATAGATTTGTGGGGTTGGATCCAACGCTCCGCTACTTTGGCCTTTTGCCGGCGTTTACCGCCTGCGCCAGCGGTAGAGGTTGTGACACAAATTTGTCTTCAACAGGTGACCACATCCAACATCTTTGACGTGATCTGGACTCCGTATACTTGTTTCATATATTTTTGATTGAGTTCTTATTGATAATCTCAAATTGGATAGAAAATCTACATGTGAGACCTGCTACTATAACAAGGCACAAGAGAAGAGCCACGGAGCGTGCAAGTTTAATCGACAATATTTGATGGCCTTCGAGACTTAATCGGAACCATCCGCTTTGATGACACCCAAGTTCCCATCCAGAACGGCCCATATATCTTTTGATTTCTCGGTGGCTCCTAGTTCACCTATCCCCTTGCCAAACCTCTCCCCGACTACAATGTCGGCCCCAAGAAGACGTTTTAACTCTAATAATGTCTGGCCAGCCTCTTCGAGAGCCACGCCGCCTTCATCCAACTTTTCCGATACAACAATTTTTGTACTGTGACCAGCCGATTGAGCTGCGTGTGCCCATTCACGAGCTCGCAGGGACGAGTCCGGCTTTTCGTGATTTGAAATCTCGTCCCCAAAAGAGATGGGTCCCTCTAAGCCATGGCGCTGTTTCTTGATTGATGGCATGGGATGTGCTGGCAACAGGTGACTCTCATCGGCGAGGCGATCTAGACCTTGGTTGGCTTCTTTCAGTTGTTTCGAGAGGCTGATACAGAGATGTGACTTTTGCTGGATCATTGCCTTTTGCTCATTCAGAACAGAGACCATATTTTCAAGGTAGGGATATGTGACTTCGATACCACTGGGTGCGTAAGTCTCCTCTTTCGCCTTGGGAGATTCCTCCTGCTCGTCTAAGCTCTTTGTAATATTTGTCGCGTCCAGTCGTCCTGTTGCAGCATTGATCAAGGACTGTCTTGCCTTGGTGTATCGTGAATACTGTCTATGAATCGACGAGAGTTCGGAATCGATGAATTGCTTTCCTCTCTTGTCCGGGCTAGTCGAAGTTGCAATTTCAGATTCAGGACTGCTGTCTCCGGCCCTTGATAACTCGGCTTCGATCCAATTGATCAACGCTGACCGAGTCATTCCTACTGCTTCGAGACGGCTTCCACGACAGCCAGGCGCTAACGAATTCTCAGCTTTGACTCTACCAAGCAGGATCTGCTCTCTCTTCAGAAGCATTTTGGCGCGGAGAACGGATTTCGCAAGCTGGTCAACAAGTTCTTCTATGTTGACTCCTGATAATCCCTGGGTTGTATCAGCGCTGTTCAGCACTTCTGAAGGCACTTTGGGCAGAGTTTCAACATCCTGAAGGACCAGTTGTGGATCTAGATGTTCGGCTGAAGCCGCAGGTTTTTGAGCGAGGGCATCCATATAGTCCTGAACAATACGCAGTCGCTCATACTTTTGCCGTTGGCTCACAAGCTTGAGGAAAGATTCCATACACGATACATCATCGGTAGAGGTCTCCTTCAGCCCTTTGACATATTCATCGTCGCGTCCAAGCCGATGCTGTTTACTGATCTCGGCGTAGTCCCTCTGTGCCTTGACGTTGGCTCGTACACACCGCAGGTACTCCTTCTGAAGCCCTCTCACGCCATGGGGTGCTATATCCACATTGCAGGTCGTATCTACTAATGATATAGGTCGAGACAAAGAATGATCTCCGTCCTGACTCACGTGAGAACTGAGATGGGAAGCTAATATCCGGCGTATCTGTGCAACCTCGTGTCTTTGCTTGATGTAAGGGCCAAGTGAGCGTGTAGCCTTTGTGAAAGGCTCGGGCATTGGTTTCATATCGTCCATGTTGACTGCTGGAAAATCGTTTTCGGGATTCTGTGTTTACTTTGCGTTATGGAGCTGATTCAACTTCGAGTACTATCCCAAGTAGTCCCGACAAGAGAAAATAGGCAGAGGAAGAGGTTTCCCAGTGGTGATTCATAGCAAAAATTTGCTGATTTCGTGGACCCGCGAATTTGAAAGAAGGTGTCTTTGCTGCATGTTTTTGATTTGGCAAGTGGCAAGATGCTAATAAAGTTGTACCTGAGGGGAGCGCGGGGCTAAGCTAAGCAGGCGCCAAGTGATCTGATGGAAACGACACTAGAGCCAGTACATACTAACATGTAAATCTGGAAATCTTCTACCAACCGTGTTAACGCTCAACCACGACGACGACGTGGAGGGGCATACCTCTCTCAGGATAATCGGCAAATTGTCATGATTTATTGGCGCTCTGTTGCTGGATGAACGTGTTACAGGCAGTTTCTCACCGTCTCCCCCTTCACTCTGGCAACGCAAAACAAACTCCATTCGAATACCTCTGAAGCCTCCTTCATTTACCTCGAATTTCCGCCGTCATGACTGATCAACAGCGCGATGTCTCGCAGTACAAGTACTCGGCGATGTCCAACCTGGTCCTCCAGGCGGACCGTCGATTCGTTACTCGGCGCAACGATGAAGTCACAGGAGACCCCGAATCACTTGCTGGGCGGTTGAGTATTCGGGATATGGGCTCTCGAAATGCTCGCGACAACGCGCCAAAGCAGAAAAAGAAGGTTTCAGGACTGCCTGATGTGGAAAGGGGAGGTCTACAAGAGGGGCAGGACGTGCTGGAGCGTGAACAGCGAAAACGAAAACGTGGCGAGCCTTCGCAGCTTCGAGGAACTGGCATCCTCTCTGCTGCAGATGCCTTAGTGGAGGGTATCGTCTACCGTCCGCGGACATCAGCAACTCGCGCGACATATGACTTGATTCTGACAACCGTCGCAAACAAGCTCGGAGACGTCTCCCATGAAATTGTGCGGAGCGCAGCAGACGCTGTACTGGAATACCTCAAGGACGACGATCTGAAGGATTTGGACAAAAAAAAAGAGATCGACGACTTGCTCGGTGCAACGCTTTCACCCAAGGAATTTAACGAGCTTGTCAACCTGGGCAAGAAGATCACGGATTACGAGGCGCAAGACGAGGATGAGGTGATGGGAGACGGAGAGAATGGCGCTGAAGATGGGGCCGAGATTGATGATCGCCAGGGAGTTGCGGTGGTTTTTGATGACATTTCAGAAGACGAGGACGGACAAGAAATGGTCAACGAAATTCGCGACGAGTCCTCCGAAGACGAAGACGAGGGCGACGCCGAAGATCGGCCCGGTGCAGAAGAGAGCGCGACTGCCGGGGGCGCTGCTCAAGATCGGGATGAAGAATCACACGAGCTTCAGGAAGAAGACGCGATGATTATCGATTCTCTAGCAGGCGACAGTGCCAGCAAACAAGGCAAAGACAAGAGCTTTATTCCTGCTCGCGATATCGACGCGTATTGGCTTCAAAGACAAATTGGTGCCATCTACGCGGATGCCCATACTCAACAGGTCAAAACCCAGGATGCTCTTAAAACATTGTCAGGTGCTCCTGACGAGGAAGGTGGAGAGGAAAAGCAATTGCGAGAGATTGAAAACGATCTTGCGGAGCTGTTCGACTGGGAGCATCACGAACTGGTACATAAACTCATTGCCAACCGTGACAAAGTTGTTTGGCTTACACGATTAGCTCGAGCTGAGGATGAAGAGTCTCGTGGTGTTATTGAGCGAGAAATTGCCTCTGGAGGCCTGCTGTGGATTCTGGATGAACTTCGAGGCATAACCAAATCTAGTGATACTTCACAACAGCGAAAGCTAGAAATCAAGATGGACATTGACGTTCCTGCTTCATTAATAAGCGGATCTACGAAACCAGAGCCAACTGGCGATGATGGACTGGTCGGTGGTCTACAACCTCGAAAACTGATCAATCTCGAAAATTTGGTTTTTGACCAAGGGAACCACCTCATGACCAACCCGAAGGTCAAGCTCCCAGAAGGTTCAACAAAACGTACTTTCAAAGGCTACGAGGAAATCCATGTACCAGCTCCGAAGAAGCGCAACGATCCTGGGGACCGCGATATCCCGGTTACTGAAATGCCAGAGTGGGCTCGAGTTCCCTTCAGTACAGCGGCGAAACTGAACAAAATTCAGTCTAAATGTTTCCCACAAGCTTTCAATGATGACGGAAATATGTTGATTTGTGCTCCTACGGGAAGTGGAAAGACCAACGTTGGTATGCTGACTATTCTCCGAGAGATTGGCAAGAATAGAAATCCCGAGACTGGCGAAATCAACCTCGATGCTTTCAAGATTGTTTACATTGCCCCGCTGAAGGCTCTTGTCCAAGAGCAAGTTGGAAACTTTGGTGGAAGACTGAAGGAATATGGTATCACAGTTTCTGAGCTTACAGGCGATCGACAACTCACGAAGCAACAGATTGCGGATACCCAAATTATTGTAACGACCCCGGAGAAATGGGATGTCATTACAAGAAAGGCCACCGATCTCAGCTACACCAATTTGGTTAGGCTGATCATCATTGACGAAATCCATCTTTTGCACGACGACCGTGGACCTGTGTTGGAGAGCATTGTTAGCAGGACGATTAGAAAGATGGAGCAAACAGGTGACCCAGTCCGTCTGGTCGGTCTTTCTGCTACCCTACCCAACTACCGCGATGTTGCTAGCTTCCTTCGTGTTGATCCATTAAAAGGCATGTTCCATTTTGATGGTTCATTCCGTCCTTGTCCACTTCGCCAAGAGTTCATTGGCATCACTGAGAAGAAGGCCATCAAGCAGTTAAAGACCATGAACGACATTACATACACGAAGGTTCTCGAGCACGTAGGCACCAATCGTAACCAGATGATCATTTTCGTGCACTCTCGAAAAGAGACTGCGAAAACTGCCAGATACATCAGAGATAAGGCTCTGGAAATGGAGACTATCGGTCAAATTCTCCGAAGTGATGCTGGCAGCACAGAAGCACTCAATACCGAAGCCGAATCCGTCAACGACAGAGATTTGAAGGATATTCTTCCCTATGGATTTGGTATTCATCATGCCGGAATGAGTAGACCAGATCGCACGTCTGTGGAAGATCTTTTCAACGACGGTTTGATCCAAGTGCTTGTTTGTACTGCTACTTTGGCATGGGGTGTGAACTTACCAGCGCATACTGTCATAATCAAAGGCACGCAAGTCTACTCTCCCGAGAAGGGTAGCTGGGTCGAGCTCAGTCCACAAGACGTCCTCCAAATGCTTGGTCGAGCTGGTCGACCTCAGTACGATACATATGGAGAAGGCATCATCATCACAACTCAATCTGAAATGCAATACTACCTGTCTCTGTTGAACCAGCAACTTCCCATCGAAAGTCAATTCGTTAGCAAGCTAGCTGACAACCTTAACGCCGAGATTGTTCTCGGCAACGTGCGAAGCCGTGATGAAGGTGTTGAGTGGCTTGGATATACCTATCTCTTCGTTCGAATGTTACGATCGCCGGGTCTGTACAGTGTAGGCGCTGACTATGAAGAAGACAACGCCCTCGAGCAGAAGCGTGTCGACCTCATTCATTCCGCTGCTGCTGTTCTCGAAAAGTCAAACCTGGTTAAATACGACAAGAAGACTGGCAAGCTACAGCCAACTGAACTTGGACGAATTGCCTCTCATTACTACATCACCCACAGCTCGATGCTCACCTACAATCACCATATTCAGCCATCGATTACCCCAATCGAGTTATTCCGCGTGTTTGCTTTGAGTGACGAATTCAAGTACATTCCCGTTCGTCAAGATGAAAAGTTGGAGCTGGCTAAGCTGCTAGGACGGGTACCAATTCCTGTCAAGGAAAGCATTGAGGAGCCTCACGCCAAGATCAATGTTCTCTTGCAAGCATTTATATCCCGTCTCAAGCTTGAGGGTCTGGCTCTGATGGCTGATCTGGTCTACGTCACTCAGTCAGCTGGACGTATTCTTAGGGCCATCTTCGAAATAACGCTCAAAAAGGGGTGGTCTTCTGTCGCCAAGACAGCACTGGAGCTTTGCAAAATGGCCGAGAAGAGAATGTGGCCAACCATGAGTCCTCTGCGCCAATTCCCTAGCTGCTCGAGAGATATAATCCACAAGGCAGAGAGGATCGCCGTGCCGTGGGCGAGCTATTTCGATCTTGATCCACCTCGTATGGGCGAACTTCTTGGTTTGCCAAAGGCTGGTAGAACAGTTTGCAATCTTGTTTCGAAATTTCCTCGTGTCGAGGTCCAGGCTCAGGTACAGCCCATGACAAGATCAATGCTTAGGGTAGAACTCACAATAACCCCGAACTTTGAGTGGGACGATGAGGTTCACGGAACCGCAGAGAGCTTTTGGATCATCGCGGAAGACTGCGACGGAGAAGACATCTTGTTCCACGATCAATTCATCCTTCGCAAAGACTTTGCCCAGGCCGAAGCCAATGAGCACGTAGTCGACTTCACGGTACCGATCACGGAGCCTATGCCGCCTAATTATTTTGTAACCGTCGTCTCCGACAGATGGATGCACTCAGAGACGAAGCTTGCTGTCTCTTTCCAGAAGTTGATTCTACCAGAGAAGTTCCCTCCCCACACTCAGCTCTTAGACTTGCAGCCTTTGCCAGTCGCTGCTTTGAAGACCGACGATTTCCGGGCTCTATATCCCAACTGGGAGCGCTTCAACAAGATCCAAACTCAAACCTTTAACTCACTGTATTCTACGGATGAGAATGTATTTGTTGGAGCCCCTGCGGGAAGCGGCAAGACTGTATGTGCGGAATTTGCATTGCTTCGCCACTGGTCAAAGCCTGAGGCAGGTGCGGCTGTCTATGTCGCACCTTTTCAAGAGCTTGTTGACCTCCGATATCAAGACTGGCAACAACGATTTTCAAAGCTCCGTGGTGGTAAGGAGATCATCAAGTTGACTGGGGAAACCACAGCCGATTTGAAGCTCCTGCAAAGAGGTGATTTGGTTCTGGGCACACCTGCGCAATGGGATATTCTTTCTCGCCAATGGCAACGCCGTAAGAAGGTGCAAGATGTTCAGCTCTTTATCGCCGATGAACTCCATATGCTCGGAGGACAATCTGGATTTGTGTATGAGATTATTGTTTCGCGGATGAACTACATCCGCTCTCAAACCGAAGCCCCTCTTCGCATCATAGGATTGAGTGTATCTCTTTCTAACGCCAGAGACATCGGCGAGTGGATTGATGCTAAGAAGCACAACATTTATAACTTCAGTCCGCATGTGCGGTCTGTTCCTCTCGAGCTTCACATCCAGTCCTTCACAGTACCACACTTTCCATCCCTCATGCTTGCTATGGCCAAGCCAACCTATGCCTCGATCCTACAAATGTCTGCAGAAAAACCAGCAATTGTTTTTGTCCCCACCAGAAAACAAGCTAGGTCAACAACTAGAGATCTGTTATCAGCCTGTGTAGCTAGCGATGACGAGGATCGTTTCTTGCATGTCGACGTAGAGCAGATCAAGCCACTTCTTGAACGGATTGGAGAGGAAGCACTCGCTGAGGCACTATCTCATGGCATTGGCTATTATCACGAAGCTCTGAGCACGAACGACAAACGTATCGTGAAGCATCTTTATGACAGAGGCGCTATCCAAGTCTTGGTGGCATCCCGAGACGTATGCTGGGAACTTGACAGTACCGCCCACCTGGTGATTGTCATGGGAACTCAGTATTACGAAGGTAGAGAGCACCGTTACGTGGACTATCCGCTTAGTGAAGTCCTTCAAATGTTCGGAAAGGCTTCGCGTCCGCTGGAAGACAAGCTTAGCAGAGGTGTGTTAATGGTACCCGCTGTCAAGCGCGAATATTACAAGAAGTTCCTGAACGAGGCTCTCCCAATTGAAAGCCATCTTCAGGTGTACTTGCACGATGCTTTCGTCTCGGAGATCAGCACCAAGATGATCGAATCTGCTGAGGACGCTATCAACTGGGCCACATTTACATATTTCTACCGACGACTCCTAGCAAACCCAAGTTACTACAGTTTGGCAGACACGTCCCACGAAGGCCTCAGTGCACATTTGTCTGAGCTTGTAGAAACCACCTTGAAGGATCTTGCAGAGACCAAAATCATCGACCTCGATGAGGAGGACGATTCAGTGACGCCACTGAATGCAGCCATGATTGCTGCATATTACAACATCTCATACATCACTATGCAGACGTTCTTGCTGTCGCTGAGCAGCCGGACAAAGTTGAAAGGTATTCTTGAGATTGTTACTTCTGCAACTGAGTTCGAGTCCATTCAAATCAGACGACACGAAGACAGTCTCCTCCGCAGAATTTACGACCGAGTTCCAGTCAAGATGGCACAACCGAGCTTTGATTCCCCACATTTCAAGGCTTTCGTACTCATGCAGGCTCATTTCTCAAGGATGCAGCTACCTATCGACCTAGTGAAGGACCAGGAGATCATATTAACCAAGGTGTTGGGCTTACTCAGTGCTACTGTTGATGTTCTTTCTTCAGATGGCCACATAAACGCTATGAATGCCATGGAAATGTCACAGATGGTCGTGCAGGGCATGTGGGACCGCGATAGTCCATTGAAGCAAATTCCACACTTCACACCGGAAGTTATCAAGGCTGCCAATGCAAATGGGTACGTTTCCGCAACCAAGGATACAATGAAATTTGCTAACAACTGTTCCTGCAGTGTCAATGACATATTCGAGTTCATGGAAGCTATGGACCCTTCAGAGAATCCCAACTATGAGGCCCTAGTAAAACAGCTCGGGCTTTCTCAGAGCCAACTTGGCCAGGCCGCGAATTTCACTAACTCGAAATACCCGAACGTCGATCTGGAATTCGACTTGGAGGACCCAGAAGGGCTCACCGCCGGAGAGCCGGCCTACATCAAGGTCAAGATCACTCGGGACGTGGACGACGAAGATGAGTCGGCCGAGGTGGACACCACGGTGCATGCACCTTTCTACCCCACCAAGAAGATGGAGAACTGGTGGTTGGTGGTGGGGGAAGAGAGCTCGAAGACACTCCTCGCGATCAAGCGTATTACGATAGGCAGGTCGCTGACCCTGAAGCTCGAATACACGGTACCCACACCAGGCAAGCACGACTTGAAGCTGTTTTTGATGAGTGACAGCTACGTGGGTGTAGACCAGGATCCCAATTTCTCGGTAGATGTCGCCGAGGGCATGGACGAGGACGAGGATGAAGATGAAGAGAGCGCTGAATAAGCTCCGGTCACCACCTTCAAATCCGAGGGCGATGTTGTATAATAGACTGGTATGAAGGAAGAAGTTAGATGGGCAAAAACGCTTTCACCAATGTCGAGTTTACCAGGGATACAAGGACAGTTTGCATTTCATTGGTTTCTCTGTTTTGGCTCCCAGTGATTGTGTTGCCTGTGTTGCCTGTGTCCCGGACACTCGCAGAAGGCAGATCTTCATTGGTTTACGGGGACTGTCTCGTCGCCCTTGGCTGGAGCTCGTGCTGGTTCCGCTGGTGTTGGCATTGGCGTTTTTGTGAGAACGGTGAGGGTGTTTCTATCACGAACCGTTCTATTTATTTTCTTCGATTTTTACTGTATTCAGCAGTTGTTGTCTTTTATTCGGGATTCCTTAGCGCTGTGAATTTTCTCTCCGCAGTGCCTGTGAATTTGCTGTGTCTCGCTACGTTGCTACTACTGTCATTCCTCCCGAGGCGGTAGTGCCGTCATATTGTTGGTTGGTGTTGAATTTGGTCAACTTCTGACCCACACGTGACACAATCCACCTAAGGCCGAAAGTTTATTACGTTCTGGCGATTCTTTCCCTCACCTTCCCCGATTCCCGTCACCACAACGCCATCAAGGCATCACCATCAGACCATCTTCACCGCGACTCGGGGCATACCCTTGATCAAGACATTTGTTACCGACGCGTCTCATCACCCTAGAAGCACAATTACAGTCTTCAAATACTATTATCTGACCGCGGCGCGACAGCACAGCAAGATGTCGGACGAGGCTAGCCCCAATTCTGCTACTCCTATTATGGAGGCCGAGCCAGCGCATGCTGATGCTGCAGTTCAGATCGAATTGAAAGAAGCAGAAAGCTCGACTAAGCCAGTCTCAGACAGCAGTGCTGAGATCAGCGAGTCCAAGGAGGCGGAAGTCGCGACCGAAGACGCGCCAGGAGGTAGCAACAACACACTATTTCCTTTTGTTACAATACATCTAATCAAGTAATTTCGCGCTAACCATTATCTTTACGCGTCTAGGTGCCGAAGCTGAAAACACAAACGATACGCAAACAACCTCCGACGACGTCACACAAAACAACCCTGCGCCTGGTGAAGAAGACAGCAAAATGAAGGACACCGCAAAGCCAGATGATACGGCTCTTGCTGTTACGGGACCTGCGGATGTCACAGTCGGAACACCTGCTTCTGCCGCAAAGAACAAAGGTGGAAACCGACGCAAATCAACAGGCGTTCCGGAGCATAAGGGCAAGAAGATCAGCAAGAAGGCCTCCCTTTCCAGACTGACACACACCGATGCCAAACCCGGCGATTACTTCTACATCCGATTGAAGGGTTATCCTCTGTGGCCCGGGATTGTTTGCGACGACACAATGCTGCCAACTACCCTTCTTCGGAATAGACCAGTAACTGCCGCAAGAGCCGATGGTACCTACAGAGAGGACTTTGCAGATGGTGGAGCCAAGGTCAACGAGCGTACATTTCCCGTCATGTACCTCCATACAAATGAATTGTAAGTCGTGCTGACTGGCGTGGTCATTGGTAGTGAGTGATTGCTAATTTAGTACTATAGTGGCTGGATCCCCAACTACGACCTGGTGGACCTTGACTTCTCAACAGTAGGAAACGTCCAGCCAAATATGAGAAAGGACCTGGCTGCTGCTCGTACACTTGCCGCCGAGAAGAACGATTTGGGCTACTTCAAATTGATCCTGAAGCAATTCGTGGAGCAACGTGAGGCAGAGCGATCGGCTAAGGAAGCTGCCAAAGCTGAGAAGAAGGCTGCAGCGAAGAAGAGCGCAACTCCTAAGAAGGTCACGAAGTCTGCCAAGACTGTTGTGGAAGATGACGAGGACGACGTCGAGATGCCTGATGTGGCAGAGCCCGAGTCCGAGGGAGCAGAGGCCAGTGCCGAACCCAAGAAGACGAAGAAGCGAAAGGCAGAAGAGGTAAGTTGATATTTCAACATCAGTCGAGTTGTTGCTGATCAAATCTTTGAGACCCCCCAGGCTGGTGATTCTGTCAAGAAGGCTCGCACCACCATCAAGTTAACAACCAAGTCCACGAATGGTGCCTCCACCCCAAAGACTCCGAAGGAAGCTACTCCGAAGGCGGCCAAGCCAAAGAAATCGAAGGCAGCCCCTAAGGCTTCTGAGACTCCTGCAGTTACTGTGCCGAAGGAACCAGAACTATCAGCTGAGGAGAAGAGAGCCAAGAAGGAGGTAGGTTGCGTGCGCAATTTTTGAAATTTCTAAAACTAACAAGTCACCAGAAAGAAATCCTTTTCCTGCGCCATAAGCTTCAAAAGGGCCTGTTGACTCGAGACCAGGACCCAAAGGAGGAAGAGATGAAGCAGATGTCCGAGTTCGTCTCCAAGCTCGAGGGTTACCATGATCTTGAGGTCAGCATTATTCGAGCTACGAAGATCAACAAAGTCCTCAAGGCGATTCTCAAGCTACCTAAGATTCCGCAAGAAGATGTACACGGTTTTAAGAAGCGATCTCAAAAGCTCCTTGACCAATGGAACAAGCTACTTGCCAGCAGTGACACCACCCCAGCTTCAGGCTCGGCTCCAGCCACCAACGGCGAGGCTAAGTCTGAGGTAGAAGGCACCAAAGCTTCTCCAGCTGAGGCCACAAATGGAACCAAGGAATCATCCGCTGAGTCGAAGGCCGAGGAGAAAATTGAAGAGAAAACCGAGGAGGAATCCGAAGAGACGGCCGAGGACAAGGTTGAGACGGATGAGAAGGCCGATGCTGAGAAGTCCGAGGGAGGTGAGAAGTCTTCAGTAGACGGATCAGCTACTCCAGAGGCCAAGGGTGCTCCAGCTGAGATTGAAGTTGTCCCAGCGAAGGCTGCCGAAGAACCCGAGGAGGTAAGAAGCCAGCACCCAGAGGGAGCTCCCGCGATCTGGTACTATCATGGAACCTAACAATGTACAGGAATCAATTGCAGAGCCTGACTCGGTTGAGACCACGGCTTAATTCTTAAGTTTTGGTATCTCGCGTTCCCAAGAATACGGCAGATCCTCCTGGTCTATTATCCACGATGCGTCAACTTGCCTCTGCATAAGAAGATGACTGATGGATTTATCCATCATTACTCTCACCGGTTTTATCTGGTAGCCCTCTGATTCTCTTCCAAGCAACGGCACTCGTTCGGCATCCCATTGCGATTCTGATTTGCGATTCTGCATGTAACACTATGCGATACTGGAGTCTTTTCTTCTTGGACTGCGTGCTCCGATGCAATCTGGTTCACGACTGTAAAACCGGCGAGCTTTCCAAAACTGGTCTGCGAGGGAGGATGGGATCTGGATGGGCATGGGCATGGGCATGGGCAGCATGGTGTCTAATTTCCATGAGCACTCACTATCTGGTTTAGCCTAGTGACTCTTCCAAGCGCGTTAGGAAATGAACAGATGTCTACTATACTAGCATTGACAGATTGTGAATTACGTGAGTGAGCTATCTCCAACGATGTTGCTTATTAAATCGATTCAGAGGGGCATGGAGAAATCGTCGTAGCCCCACTTCATGGTGTCGGGACCAATTAGCGTGCGTATCCCGATAAGGAGCTTTTTTTCTATATCTAATCGAGCAGCGAAGTATGGCAAGTATATATTCTTCGCGATCCCTCAACAAACTTGTAGACACCCAGCAATGTCTGCCCCTGCCCCCGAGTATCTGCGATTCAAATCTCACAAGTCCCTCACACATCGACTCGTTCTCTCAACTCTGACCGGTCGCCCAGTTGCCATCTCCAATATTCGCTCCTCATCGCCTACGAACCCAGGTCTTGCGCCTCACGAGGTATCTTTCCTCCGCCTCCTCGATAGTATCACCAATGGCACGACCATGCAAATCTCGTACACCGGTACGAAACTCATTTACAACCCCGGTCTCATAACCGGCAGCGTCTCGACAGGCGGCTCCGACGTCGTGAGATGCGTACTGCCGGATACTTGCCAGAGGGGCGTCAGTTGGTTTTTACTACCGCTGTGCATGCTAGCCCCGTTCTCAAAGGCGCCGATAAACGTGAAATTCGAAGGCGAGGGCGTCATCACCAGTGCGACGGAGACGGGAGACGTGAGCGTCGACACGTTCCGGACTGCCATCCTGCCGCTCTACGAGAGCTTCGGGATCATGTCCGCCAAACTCGATCTGCGCGTCACTCAGCGCTCGTGTACCGGTGCGGGCGGCAAGGGCGGAGGGGGGATCGTGGAGTTGCGCTTCGGGAGCCAGTTCCGGCTCCCCAAGACGCTGCACATGAACCGGAGCCCGGGGCGGGTGAAGCGGGTACGCGGCGTGGCGTACAGTACGGGCGTGTCGGCCAGCAACAACGCGCGGATGATACATGCGGCCAGGGGGGTGCTGAATACCCTGGTCAGCGATATCCAGATCGCGGCGCAGTACGACCAGGCGCCGCTGGTGTCGGCGGGGGATCGCGCGAATCCGGGCGGGAAGAAGAGGACGGGGATTGGGTTTGGGTTGAGTCTGGTTGCGAGTACGAGTTCGCAGGGCGTGATATACTCGGCGGACGTGCCGGCGCCGAGTGAGGGGGGGGTGACGCCGGAGGATGTGGGAAAGCAGTGTGCGTATCAGTTGTTGGAGGTCATATCGCAGGGCGGCTGTATAACGAGGGCTGCGGCGCCAACGGTCTTGACTCTGATGGCAATGGGGTCAGAGGATGTGGGGAGAGTACGGTTAGGGAGAGATGTGGTTGGAACGGAGGAGTTTATTGGTCTGGGTAGGGATTTGAAAAGGTTTGGAGCGAGCAGTTGGGGATTGAGAGATGCTGATGAGGATGAGAGCGACGATATCATAGTCAGTGTGAAGGGCGCTGGTGTTGGGAACGTTGGCAGGAAGATAGCATAATAATACATTTTTTGAGAGCCAACGAATGGCTTTAGTCAACTTGGTCTTGAATGGATATTGTTCCGTACTATATACAAAGCTGGGTATCTCAATTCCTTCCTAGGGCCTCCACGTCTCGCTGTAACCTGGCACTGGCTGCATTTATTCGTCGATTCGCTGTGATAGCAGCAAACTCCGCAGAGAAGCCAACCGTCTGTAGAGCAGACTCTGTAGCAGAACCATAATCCCGCCACTGCCTCCTGAGGTTATAAAAAATGTTAAACTCTGCTACAACGGCCGATGCTGACCAAAGTAGCTCCAGAGTACTCCCATCCTCTACTTCTTCTTGAGCCGGAGATGGTTCTGCGAGCAGCCTTTCGCGTTCTTCGTTTCTCTCTTCGTCTGTCTCTCCAATCCTTGTAATCGAAGAAGGTCCGTCGTTTTGTGGTATTATCTCCTGCATCTCCATATCGCCATTCCTCCTAACACTTCTATGGCCTATCTCACCTCTTTCCTCTGCATCCAAATCCTGCGTTGGCGCCACTGATACAGCCGTCACGGGTACCGCATCGTTCTTCTTGTACACCTCAATTATAGCCGAGAGTTTCTCCTTTTCCACATGCACGGCCAGCATAAAAAACTGCAAGCTCAGCACTAGAAGGTCGAGTAGTATCATGTGGAACCTGGAAGTCGGTCCTTTGTACCCGATGAGATCTATAATCACTCCTCCGTGCAGGTAGCCACGCATGGCTTCTCCAGCTTCGGGGCGCGCGGTGAAGAGGTGGAGGAGCACACAGATCATGTTGGGGAGGACGATGGCGCCGATATATGGGCGGTGCTGCGGCGCTGGCGGTACGAAGGATGGCTTGGGTGTCAGGAACATCATCTGGTTGAGAACGCGGAGAAGGAAGCGGAAGAGAGAGCAGCTGCTCCTCTGTTAGCATCTTGGCCAATTCGCGAGACACGGGCAACGGGGGACCGACTCCATATAGTACAGGATCGAGAGCTCCGCGTAGATCAGGACATCGAGGTTTGATGTCAGCGAAGTGATGAACTCATGTTTCTTCTCGAACAGCGCCCTCGCATCGCTCTGGGCTTTCTGCTGGGCCGGTGTAAGCACATTTGATTGAATCACCGGTATGTCCTCCTCGTCGTCGTCGCCGCCGCCACCCGCCGGGGCAGTATTGCTGGCACTCGGGCCAGGGATAGGAACGGAAGCTGGTTCTGGTAGAGGCGTCTCCGAGCTGGGCAGGTCGGTTGCGGCGGGGTCATTGTTCATAGCTTGATGGGACTCATTAGTAGGGCTCTAGTCTTCGGACGTTGAGGAGCTTCACATCGTTTGGAGGGAGGTGGATTTGATGAGGTCCGGAAAGGCTGTGAGGCTGTGATCACTGACGGAAAGGAATGGGACTGTGCCTTGCAGGTTCAGCGCTTTGTCAGCCCTTCTCATGGTAATCAGGTTGCGCACCTCTCTTTTGAGCGCACTCGAATCTGAAAAGTGCAAATCAAATTTGATCGTATAAACTTCAATATGAAACCATCAGAATTGCAACATCTTGTATTATATTAACAAAGCTTAATTCTATACATTGAAAGCTATATCCACATATTGCATTCCTTCTTTTGATTTGTTGGTTTTCAGATCAACTAAAATTTGTATGCAACGTCAAGTAAATTCGAGCGCAACTTTTTTAATTCTCGACATATTCTAATCCTCATTCGATTAAAAAGATATATCAAACGTTTCTCTGTTTTTTCTTCATAAAAGCAGCAAAGCTCTAAATACAAACTCGTCAAGTACGTATCAAATTCATATCGATTTTCAATGATATTAATCGTTTTTACTAAAATTTGAGCCTCTAAATTCTTTTATAAATTATTGATAAATCTAGAGCGGAAATAGTTATTATATAAGAAAGCTTTACTATATGAAAAAGCTCTTATAGTTTTTATAACGCAACAGAAAAATCGGCCAAAGAGGGCTGAGAAAGCGCTGAACTTTAAAGGCACGGGATCTCACGTGCGTCTCCCTGACCCTGAATCTCTATCTCAACCTTCATCTACAATCACTTTTTTTTGGGCAAGGATTTCCGACGAAGATCCCATTATGCGGTCATGATATCTTCAAGCCCTCAGTTTACAATTCTTCTTCCTCTAATCGACATTCCATGTGATTTTTGATTATTATTCTATCGTTGCGGACTAATCCTCCAAAAGATTTACAGTAAACATGCCTTCCCGCCGCCGACCAGCCGTTCAACCAAAACCCAAGCCTGGGACAGCTTTCACACTCTTCCCCAAGCTCCCCGTCGAGCTGCGTCTTAAAATATACTCCGAACATTTGACGACCAGCACCACCACCAGCCGCATCGTAAAGATCTGCTGGAACGCCCGAAAGCGCGCCTTCGTATCCAGACGCCCGCCCCCTCCCCTCTTACACACCTGTTCTGAATCCCGTTACCAAGCCCTCAAAACGTACCAGTTGCACTTCGCGTCCTCCCCAGAGTTCGCCAGGGTGTACTTCTCGTTCGAGCGGGATACCCTGGACCTCTGCTGGGACTCGCTTGGCTCGTCTCCGGGCAGGGTTGGGAGGAAGATGAGTGACGAGGAGATGGGGAAGGTGCGGAGGTTACTTGTGAGGGAAGACAGTTTGCTGGGTCATGCGGCGGACGGCGGGAGGGAGTTGGAGCGCTTCACGGGATTGCGAACCCTAGGTGTTCTCTGTGACCCGGAGAATGTGGCGTTCGGGGGTGAATATGGGACACGATCTATGCATCAGATTGCTCAGGAGCTGGATGTTGACGAAGAGGATAGTGGTGCAGATGGCGAGGAGGCTGCTGTGAGGAGGCTGAGGGCACCGAGGGCGGAGAGGTGGCCTGAGCTGGTGTGTTTGAGGGATGTGGATGGAGCTGATCTACCCAGGTGTAGCAGGCATTGGTGGTTCGATGGGTGGAATCACAGGAGTGCGGTTTTGCAGAGGGAGAAGTGGCCGGAGGTTCTAGCGGAAGCGTTGGTGTTGACGTCACAACACGATCCGGATGATCAGGCATTCATTGAAAACCTTCTATTCATGCATGTTACTGGACAGCAATTGTGAAAGCTCAGTGGACTCGACGAGCTGTTCTACGACTGTACGACGCCGTTGTAGCATTCTCGGTGGCCTGGAGCTCGAAAGTTGATGTTCAGTTGGTACTCGGGCTTATTCGGTTAATAGTAGTAGTTGACTTCGTAGCTTTTGCAAGCTTCTAATATATTCTAAGAAATATCAAGAAGACAAAGAATAATTTCAATCCGACTCAGGACAGACTTATTTCGAAAAAATTAGGAAAGGACCCCAAAAGTTATGAGGCCAACTCCCACGATTATCCTGCAACTTGCCGTCTAGAGATACATCAAGGGTCCCGATTCGGTTCTCGGCGTACATGCAGCCCCCTGTGTTGACTTCGACTTCGCCTATGCTGTTCCAGAAGCTCTTACGGAGTATCCCTCATGCTAGCACAACCCACAACCCATATCCATATCATCTCCCCCAACACTCAAAAAATTCGACGTGTTTCTCCATACCAGGTATCAGATCTACTTCACCAGATCATAAGAAGCCCCGGACAAGTAAGTGAAGTTTCACACGGGTCAGTCAATCCAGGATGGAAGAAGATCTCCAGGCTCGAACAGTAATCTGTACGTGCCGTAAGTATCGTTTCTGATACAGAAGCCTCGTCTTGCCTGGTGCTGGTATCCATCCATCCACATATACTTCGTACGTCCTACAGCATTTCGAAACATTGATTGATGCTGCAAATTTTACTACTTCATAATATCCAACCACCAACTCCAAAGGCCTGATTCCGAAAGCCAGATCTAGCTCATCAGTATCGTCGGGACACTTGAGTGGCTTTGCGGACTCGTTAAATCTCACAGTTCGTAGGGCATCCAGATCCGGATTTTTATTACTACTGATGCCGCGGACAAATGTACGTTCAATAGAAATTGGCGATCGTCATTTCCATTAATCTGGGTATCATACCTTATCCGCCATGGTCTGTTCTTCAATCTTAACCTCTTGGTACGCCTAAGAAAAACTCCATACGACTTGCAAGCCTCTCAAGCATTACTCTTCATCACAAACACCACCCGTCCCTTTCTCCACCTTACAACGCGACCACCATCCCTATAAATCCCACCGCCCCGCCAACAACCATGCTGCCCAGGCGGCCCATGCCCGTCTCCCGCGCTGCTGCCACCTTAATCGTACTCGTCGCCTTTCCTCCAACCTCACTTTGCAACGTCGAGATGGGATTGCTGAAACCGTTCGCGGTGAGGATGCTAGCTTGGGCAGCATATACGGAGCTGAAGAAGGGACGGACCGCGGCAGGGATAGCCTCGAGGTAGTTGGCTGCCAGGGTTCCCTGCGTGGCAAAGACAGCGGAAACGGAATCTTCAAAAGCGGAGAGGGAGGAGATAGCGGCGGCGTCGGTTTGGATGGCGGAGCCGGCGGCGACGAAGGCTGTGTCTGTTTGTGGTGATCAGTATGGAGGTGATATGCATGAGTGTTCTAGTGAGTGTTCTAGTGAGTGTTCTAGTGAGTTTCCTGGGAACAATCCCTCGGCGATTGGTCGGACGTACTGGTTGCGAGCACTGAGAAATATGACAATAGCTGGTCGGCGGCGACTGTCGATTGTCTAGATTCAAGGTCAGTCTTTGATCTCTGACTTCAATTGAAAGACTAGGGTGAAGGGGGCGCGTTTACGCAGCATCTTGCCTCTTCTCAGCCCCCTCTGGTTGCGCAGCCACAAGGGAAAGGAGTCCAGTAAGGACGATGACGAAGCTGAACTGCATTCTGGCGATTATCATTTTCGTTGGTGAGCAAGCGTGGGTAATCGAGATTCACGAACGAATTCTCGATAAGTTAGATGTGAGGTAGTAGTTTGAAAAGGTTGGAAAGGCGACGGACAAGCTTTCACGCAATGTTGATGGAACGGAAGGGTCCAACTACATAGGCAGGTACGGCCCGTCTCCAGTAACCTAACCCTAATTGTCACCTTGAATCTCGTCTTCCCCCCGCTGCAGAAATAATCAATGTTGTCAAAATCAAGGATCTCGTCTTCCAGCTTTGTAAACAAGGCTGGCTGGCAGGTCAATCCACCAATCGGGTTTTCTCACGACTGGATCTTGATGCCCGAGATCGTGGTTCGGCAGCGCATTCTCGGTAACGATCTTTGGGTCTTCCCAGGAGACCAATTTCACCTGGAAATCGCAGCGCGCAATCTTGTGTTTAAAGTGGTGAAATCCACGAGATAAGGCAGGCTATAAGGCTGACGGCTTCTCTTCGCAGTCTCGTAGATATTGCGCAAAAGTTTCAAGGATTTTCATACGCCATTCCTTGCACTGTAGTAACCATTCATAGCTCGAAATTCCCGCAAAGACTGAGGGTGCTTGGAAGCGGGCTGATTGGGCCAGTAGGCTGGCTACCTGGTATTATAGAAATTCCAGCGTCGTAGTTCAGGAGTAGATCATGATTCCTGCTATACCTTCATTCCCGCTCGTAACATGTCGGAGACTTTCGGAGGCAAGACCAACGCACTCCTGTCGTTCCGCCTATAGAAATCAACTATCACCATAGCAGTCTTCTCCGGTAGATCTTCATGTATAAAGTGTCCTGCTTCGGGGAAGACTTGCAAGGAATATTTCCCTATCAGCTGTCAGCCTGACTCCATTGATAGAGTCCTATGGCAATACCTTGCATTTGACCGATAATTAGCTCCTTGTCCAATCTGTCTGTCCCCGCGAGTAGAAGCAATTTTCCTCCCTTCGCCTCCAAAAACTTCTTACTGAGTCCAACGAACCATCCTTCCCAGAAAGGTTGGGTGGCGGCCAGGTCAGTTTTCCACGTCCAGCTTCTCGAGCTTCGTACCTTTGGATCGTGCTTTAGCAGTGCAGGTACACTCGTCCGCGCTGACATTGAATTTCGAATTGTTCTGGACCGAATATGCCATTCTATGCCTAGCTCCAAAGACGGAAATCCTGCAGGTCTCGTCGACAAATACGTCTGCATACTTTGCAACGCATCAATCGCAGAGCCTTCGACAACATCGAGTACCGCGTATCCGAGTACTGCATCTCCCAATTCCCCGCTCTTTGCGACGTTCGTCACTACAGCCCCTCCGAGGGAATGGCCAATAAGGATCATGGGAGGAAGTTGTTTCCAGGCCATTCGCTTCTTCGTTTTGTCCAATATGGCTATCAAATCTGCGCTTAGGGTTTCCAGGCTCAAGTCTATGATCTCTGGATCGGGTGTGGTCGTGGTAGAGCCATGCCCTCTGGCATCAAGGGAGAGGATGCCTGCATTTGGCAGACACTTTCGAATCTCGGCTGTCAACAAGGCGAATGATAGCCCGGATGATCCTGCTCCATGGTGTGTGACGAACAGTGGCGCATTACCAATGGGAGACGTGAGGTAAGCATGGTGCATTATTGTGAAAGTTTCGGTAGTGGATTCGAGAAATAGTTCGCGTTCGAAATAAGAGGTCCATGGAATCTGGTCCATGGTTCTTTTGTTTGGGGATCTGAGAACAGTTCGCATTAGTCAAAGTCACCCGAGAAAGAGGGAGACTTTAACCCTTTGGGCCGGGCGAAGAGTTTTTGATTCTGCGAGGGGATAATGGTCCCTGTAGATGAGGCTGAAGACGCAGATGATGCAGAAGAAGAGTCGTCATCTTGTGCCAGCTCAGTGTCAAACTGGTCCGGCTCTTCTTCAGGCTCGTCGACATCTTGGGATAGCGGAGGCATTGTTGCTGGATAACTTGCCAGCTTGGCTTTTGCGAAGGATCTCTGCAGGCCGCTCATGGTGGGGTAATTAACTGGAATGGAGAGGTGCGAATCAGTGGGTGAGTGAGGGAGGGTTCGTCGAACATGCGCAGTATCAAGTAGTGAGGAACAGGCAAAACAGGTCGGACATTCCACCGTGGCCGAGTGAAGAAGTGACTGAGAGTTTGCCTTTGGATAGTTTGGAATTCTGGATAGTCATCCCGAGCTCCAGGAAAGTATGGGATAAGAGAAGCAGCGCTCGCTTAGCCGATAAGATAAGCAATACCGGTGCCGGCCCGGGCTGTGTGATTGATATCCGACATGGGGGGACAGATACTGGTACGGAAGTAAGTACTGCCGTAGAGTACCAAGGGAAAGGGACTTAATTAAAGCTTTTAACCTTAAAACCTTAACTCCACGTTTAAGTTCAACATGATAGTTGTATATACCGGTACCGGTACAGTACCTAGTCTGTCAAGTGTGGACCTTGATGATCTAGCTACTGGCACCGGTGACACGGGCCCGGGATGAGTTGCTTGTGGCTGGTGAGTTGGTCGGTTAATGGGAAGGAATTGAGACGGTGACATCATTCAGAAACAGACCACGATCACGACCACGATCACGACCACGTGACCATGACCACCACCTCCGCCGCCACCACAACAACAAAAAGTACATTCGCAACTTCCCCGGCAGCGCTCACTATTGGCTCGAAGTCGATATTGGTTCTGCTCGCAGTTTGATGACCCGTGAAGTGAAGACTTGAACCCAACCCGGTTTTTCTTCCACAACATCTGACGACTGCCACTGTTCACCTCTCACACTAACTCTCTTCTTTGTGAGCTTTGCCCCCGAGGCCCGCGACCCGAGTTTGATATCCCCACAATAAAAAACCCACTTCCAGACTCGCCCACTCAATTCCCATCAACATGACGCTCTGGGGCAACACGAAGGACGACGAACCCGAGGACAATGGCCAGAATGGAGACTCCAGCAGTCGTGTTGTTCAGTCCCAGCCCGAGCCCCAGCCCCGCGCATCCACCGAGACCGATGAGCGCACTCGTCTGCTGCCTCCGCGTCCAGCTGAAGGTTACCTGAGCCCTGATGATCCAGCAGTAAGTCCCCAACTCGCTCGAATGTCCGGCTCCCTACACGGATTGTAGGTAGTGAGTACATGATGGGATGTACATGCTAACAACGTGCAGGTATCGCCATACAACCTCTGGAGCGTCCGATTCCTCCGCTACTTTACGGTCTTCTTCGCCATCATCACCTTCCTCTGGTGGGTACTTTTGCTGGTATCCATTTTCGTCAGCCCTCCCGGGATGCATTCTCGAGGGTCCGGATTCTTCGACTTCTCATACACTACCCTGACACTCGGCCTGCTTCTCTTGGGCCTCATATCCTTCTCTACTCCATCCAAGGCTGCACAGGTATCGTGCTTGATCGTCGCAGTTGTCTTATTGCTCGATATGATCTTGATCATTACTGTCCCAAGACTTCGGGTCGAGGAGGGCTGGGTTGGAATTGCAAGCGTTATTTGGGCGGTGCTGATCGCCATTTGGACCATCATCACAGACCGGATTGTCGCTTGGGGCAAGCGAGAGGAAGAGGAACGCCTTACAGGTCGCGCTGAGTCTCGTCGTACCTTAGGCGAGTGGACCTCGGTCCTCTTCTCTACAGTGGTCTTGATCGCTATGGCCGCTGTCGCTATTCTCCTGTCTGCAACTCTCATCCTCCGATCTCGCGATTCTTCCCTGCACGCACCGGGAGAGCGAATCTTCGTGGATGGCGCCAAGTACCAAATCCATCTGTATTGCGAAGGATCTACGAACGTGACGAACGCTGCGGGAAAGAAACTGCCGACCGTCCTCTTCGAGGCCGGTGATGGACCATTCGAGCATGGGATGATCAGCATCGCAACTAACGCCCTGGCCAACGGCAGCATCTCCCGTTACTGCTACTCTGACCGCCCAGGATTTGGCTGGTCCGACAATTCCCCGTCACCATTCTCCGCCGGCATGGCAGCTGATGTCCTCTCCGAAGCTCTGGCTCGTGCTGGCGAAGACGGACCATGGGTTTTGGCCAGCGCAGGAGTCGGCAGCATCTACAGCCGAATCTTCTCTTCGCGACACGGCGGCGACGTCCAGGGCCTTCTCCTGATCGATCCCCTCCATGAGGATCTCCTCTACCGCTTGGGTTCTCCTCACCGAGGCTTCCTTCTCTGGGCATGGGGCATTATCTCGCCTCTGGGCTTGGACCGTACGCCCGCAGCCATCTTCAAGGGCCGCACTCGCGAGGACCGTGTTTATGGACGCTCTGCTTACCAGAACGGAAAGTTTATCAAGGCTAAACTCCAGGAATCCTTGGTTGCCGATTCCTTGACTAAGAATGAAGTCAGCAGCGCCAGACATATCCAGTCGGAGACGACCCCTTTGGCGCTCATTAGCTCGGGTATTGAAATCAAGAGAGACCGAACGTGGGAGCAGAAGCAGGAGGACCTCAGCCACCTGACGAATAATCTTATTAGCTGGGACATAGTCAGCAAGGCTCCAACTGAGGTGTGGAGGACGTTGAACGGACGAGAGATTATCGAGAAGAGATTGGCAGAATTGGTGCACGCATAATTTGAGTTGGAGGGAATGGCATACATATTTGATCTTGAAACGAAACAGAGGCCAGAGGGTACCAGGAAAGAGGACAGAAGGGCTGCAGCTCCAGACTGATGCCGCATACGTGTCTGTCCTGCATTTTTAGCAGGGTTGGTGGGAAATTTCCGTCTGTCCTTCGTCGATCACGGTAGTTTTACGATGATTTAATGTCCTTATGTAGATAGTGTAATGAAAAATGATTCACCGCCTCCGAATTCTGTGTGCAGTCGGTGTCTGAATCGTTGGATGGAAAAGATATTCTTGCAATATACTAGGAGCTGTCTCGAGAGAATTGTCTAGGAGAGGCTTCGGAAGCCAGGAGATTAAATCAGGCTAAGAAACTACTTTGCGCGTGGCGCCAAATCGGGACAAGATTTGCCCCAGCCACACCTGGAGAGGGTTACGGAAAGGCGAGGGAAGGATATCCAGAAGCTACAATCAGAAGCTACGTCAATAGCACATTTTCGTCAACCCGCATGTCACGGCTCGATTACTAAATCGTTCTCGACGTATAGATTTATTGTCTTTTTCGGATTTCTTATGCATCAAGTACTGTTACGAAATTCCAACGAGCTACCAAAGCTTGAAAACACCAGTCAATCACAAACGCCTATCCAAATACCTTCCAATCCAAAGCCCCTCGCCCAAATGACCTCCATCCTAGTTGATATCAACCTTCTTCACCTCAATCCATTCCCTCTCCACCTTCGGCACCGTGATAACCAAGAGCCCATCCTCCAGCTTCGCACCAATCCCCTCCCCATCCACCTCTGCCCCCTCCTCCTCCTCCTCCTCCTCCTTCCCCCTGGGCGGCAACTTTACACTCCTTTCAAACGCGCCGACTCTCCTCTCGCCGCTCTTCAAGCTCTTCAAGAAAGTCTCATCGCCCGGTCTGTAGACCACACCTGCGATGTTCAGCTCCCCCTTGTCCGCGTCCCAGTTCACGCCCACGTCTTCCTTCTTGGCGCCTGGGAGGGCGATGTGTAAGACGTAGGCGGCCTCGGTGGAGAAGACGTCGATGGGAGGCGTAAATGTATCCTCTGGTGCGTCTTCGTCGGCAGGGCCAGTCTCGTCTGATCGAGGGCCAGGCCGCTCGCCGGCAGATCGAGCTTGCGGTGCGTATGAGCGGAGAATATGCGCCCATGATGGGTGCTGCTGAATCGCTGGATGGCTGGTGAGCGCTTGGTAAAGACCGCTTAAATCGAATCTCATTCTCATCGGTCCTGCAGCGGCGAAAGGAGGAGGAGGAGGACCTCTGCGTTCGGGCCCGTGGTGTCCAGATCTTGGCCCTCTTTCTCCGCGCGGTCCATGGCCACCACGACCGTGTCTGTCGCCTCGTGGGCCGTAGGGATGAGGGTGAGGGTGAGGATGAGGGTGATCGTCTCTCGCCTCGCCTTCACGGCCGGAGTGCTCGTACTCGTGCCCACCACCCGGCGACCCTGTGCGCGATCTTGATCTCTCGCTACCGGGGTTCTCACGATGGTGGCGTCTTCCACACCCGCCCCTCGTGCCAAAGAAGCCTGGTCCTTCACGTCCATGTCTCTCTGGCCCTCCGAATGGGAAGCTATCTGGACCATGGTAATGGCCATGAGCTGGACTTCCCCAGCCTACAAATGGAAAGCCAGTCCCAAACGGAGGAGGGGGTGGTGGGTGAGGGTCGGCTGGACGCCCTGGCTGAGTGCCTCTGTTGAAGGGACCGCCTGCGCGATCGACACCCGCGCCGTTGTGATCCATGCCGCGGACGAAATCCCAGAATGGGCCTTGTTGATCATTGGTATATGCCATGATCTTGGTCTAAATGTTACGTGTATTGGTGAGAGAGAGAGAGAGAGAGAGAGAAGTGTAGATTCAACCTGTGAAGAGCAGAGTATCGATATATAGAGTAGCAGGAGAAGCAAAGAGCGAAGGGTAGACCGAGGCTTTATATCAGCCCGCAATAGGGCACCTGAACGACAGGAACGCATAGACAAGACCGATAAGCCCAGGCAGAATGAATGAATGGGTCAGAACAAGCAAGACTCGACTCGAAGCGTCAGAATCGTTCGTCATGATGGATTCTCAAACAGACGCGCGTCCGCTACCTACCTACGTACATCTGGGGGAAAAGGTGTGTGTGGCGCATCCCTGCCAACTTGTCGTCGCAAGCTTGGACATCCCGTAAAAGAGTTGACTAATCTGCGGTACCGTGTTGTTTTTGCCACTGGATGGACATTGGAGAGGCGGAGGGAGTTGAGCTTGATAAGCGAGGATTCGTACCTTGGCTGCTACCCTAGATCTCTGAACGAGAGGTATGGGTAGGTAGCGAATAACACGTCTACTTTTTTTTCTTATTCAATTTTTAATTCCGTGGAAAATCAATTAATTATTTCTGATTTACTGATTAAATCTAGATCTAATAGGTTTGGGTCTGTTGTTAAACACACCTAGGGTTAGGTGCGGCTCATACCTAAGGTTAGGTCCGGTTAAGGCAACTCATTGTCCTTCACTCAGATTGAAACCCTTGTTTGTTTGCACTTTTATGTTTAAGTTGCGGGACTTTTACTTCTCACGACTTGAACCGTTCTCGATATGCTCGGCACCCCCTGGTCGTTGACAACAAATAGATAATACGCCCCTGGAATCAGCACCCCACTGTCCTTCGGCAGAGTCGCCGTGTACGAAGTCTTGCCATCCGGCGCTGACGCCTCTTTTACCTCCTGCAACGGCACCCGTCGCTGATCCGTGTTGATCGAGTGGGTGGCGCTGCCGATTCTGATCAAGACAAGGCTCGCTTTCGCAGTGTTGCATGTCACAGTGAGCGTACCGCCGACGGTCACATTCGTCTCTGCAACGGCCGAGATCTCGGGACGCGTAGCCGCAGACCCATCGGCGTTGAACAGGTACGGCGGCGAGAAGATCTGGCCGTCTTGGTGATCGACGGTTCTGTCACAGCCGGAACCTCTGCCATAGCACAGTCCCCCGCCTCCGCTGAACACCGTTGCGTCGGGCAGCAGGAGGCTGATGGAGTGGTAGGTCCGCGGCACGGATTCGGGGGCGAGAATTGTCCACTCCTTGGTCACGGGGTTGAACAGCTCCGGGTACATGGTCGCGGCCTTGTCCGTGAACACTTCGGCCACTTGCTGCCCGCCGGTGACGAGGACGGTGCCGTCGGGGAGGACAACGGCGTTGGGGTAGCCACGCGGGTATGTCATGTTGGCAACCTCCTCGACCACGGACGGCTTGTACGCCTCGGTGATGGTCGTGATGTGCGAGTTTGCTAAGCCCGGAGAGTCGGTGTAGGTTGCCGCTCCCCCGGCCGAGAGGATTTTACCAGGCTCGTACATCACGTTGGCCGCGCACATGGCGTCGCCGCCAGAGCGAGTGCCGGCAGGCATGTTGGCGCCGTTGTTGACGGTATCATACCAGTTCTGCGCTTTGCTTGGGCCGGCTTGAAAGACACTGCCGTTGGTCCAAGAGTAGAGCCATGCGTGCTGGAGAAGGTGTTAGTAGATGGATTATTATCTGAGGATTGTGGGTCATGGGGTGGGTGTGTGGGTGACTTGCGTTATCAGTCCGCCAGACTCCCTCGTCGTCAACAGTCAACATCGGATCCGTCAAAGCTTCCGTGAGCGCCGTCCATTTGCCCGTTGCCGGGTCGTACAACTCCCCGCTCTTCCCTCCCCTCTTACCACTGAAACTCCCTCCTAATTCAAAGATCTTCCCCTCGCTGGTCGTGCAGCTCGACTGGTAGCCTCGTGGGATGATCATATCCGGGCCCTTGGTGAACTCATTCGTCGCCGGATCGTAGAAGGAGACAGCCTCGGCATTACTGCCGCCAGAGATCATGACTCTGCCGTCCTCCAGGGTGGATATACCCGGACAGAACATGTCGTGTTTAGTGTTCGCAACCTCGCGCTGGGATACCTTGCCGGTCAGGTAGTCGAAGTCTGCGAATTGGGTGAGGCCTGATGCACCACCCCATGTGGTGGCGCCCCAAGACGAGAAGAACAAGACGCGAGACGATTCTGGATAAGCGGGTACAACGAAACCACCGACTGGAATGACAGGCAAGCGGATGATGTCGCTCCACTGGCCGCTCATGGACGGGTTTCTTGGGGCGGCGAGTTTGATGGTGGTGAATCGGGAGTTGAGAAGCCAGAACATCGCGTTGGTTTCCATAGGAAGTTTAATGTAGCAGATACGATCCTGGGTATCGTAGGCGGCCTGGGCGCAGTTCGCGGTGGTAGCGCAGAGATTCACGCAGTCGGCCTCAGTAGCGATATCTTTGGTTTCCTGCGCGTTGCCACCATTCATGTCGGTGCCTTGGCATATGGTGAAGTTCTTGCCGTCGACGGCTGTTGTAGTCTCTGGGGTGGGACACCGGGCGATGTGTGATAACTGTGGGAGGTTGGTTGCAGGCTCCTGGCGCGAGCGAAGACTGTCTGTATGTTGTGTAGGGGGGAGCGCGGATGCAAGATGCGCGAGCAGGAGGACAGAGGTCCCAAGCAGATGTATCTTGGTAATCATAATTGCGACCAGAAGCAATCCTCTAAAATAAAACAATAACCGCAGATATCTGGGGGAAAATGTAACGAATATAGCTGGCGATTTGGTATCCTTCCTCAGAGAATCTGAACGAATGATATAACGACTTTAAATTATCAATAGAAAGACGAAGGAAAGACAAGGGGAGACGAGGAGAGACGAGGAGAGACGAGGAATGATGAGGAAAGATGAGGAAAGACGAGGGAAGACGAGGGGAGACGATTAAAGACGAGGGGAAGGAAGAGTGTGCAAAGGGAGATCGAGGAAAGGCCGATGCCTGCCCCATTGAAAGGGGAATGGGTTTATATCTTCCATCAAGGTGGGCCAAGAAGGGAAATAGCACCCAGAGGTCACCGTCGTGGGAGATGGGGCTCGCACGTCCATGGTCGATATTGAGAGTGTTCGTATAGACTAAGCCTCCCCACTCCACTTCTGATTAAAGTGGAGTCTCTATAGGTAGGTACCGGTACAGCTTTTTGATGCATTGATACGGAAGCTTTTCTTTTCTCGAAACAGGATTCTTGATGTTTCATTTCAGATATTTATGCTTATGATATTGAGTCTATAGAAGCCCCTCTCAAACCTCACAACCTGGGCCAGGTTCCCTGCACCAAGTTAGACGCAGTACGATACATGGCAACAAACCGATCTTGGCTCATCTCCACCCTCTATCGCTTCGCATTGCGGCAACAGCAATCGAATACGACGTCTTCCTTATACATATTAGGGATTGGGTGTCTGTAACTTACTGTGGTGGCATTTGCTCTCCGGCGTCCCACTGTGCGACAGTTAGGGGATTGTCCTGGAAACAGGGGCTTGCTGAGTGCCAACTTACGTGCTCCGCGATGCAACCCTCCTGCCATCTGAAGCGGTCGACGATCGTTCCGAAGTCGCCGATGTAGTTCAGCCATCCCTGAGGGCTGCGCCATAGTGTACCGAGGACCGTAGGTTGAGTCTGGTTTGCCCAGCCGGGAGACAGGATCGACCACGCCGAGTCCGACCCGTTCTGGGCCATCGGGTTGTGGTTCTATAGCAACGCCATCGTCAACAACCCCACCTTCTTCGCGTCACGTGGGGTTTGGGCGAGAGAGGCTTGGACAAGGAGGACTCACGATGTAGTCTTCCCTGATGAAAGTGAAAGCTTTGACAATGTCCAAGTCGAAAATGAATGCCTGAGCGAAGTCGTTATGGCGAAGCTCAGTCTCTTCCGGTGTGATACCGGGGATGGATGTGCACGGTGGTGGCTTCACGAGCTCTTCTTGTCGTGCGTGGACAGCAGCAGCGTTCTCGGCCGGGGCCGCCAGAACAGCAAGTGGCGCGACGAGCGCTGAGAGAAGGAACGAGGCGTGCATATTGTTACAAGTAAAGGAGCGTCTGGATTGCACAGCAAGTGGTAAGACAAGTTTGCTTCATTATCGACAGAGGTGAGTCGGAAGGGTCATATATACTCGAAATCTCTCTCCTGCTATAGATATGCCACCGGAGCATGAGTTCTGGGATTCGTCATCACCACATTCTTGTCGTACCGGCAGTTGGGAAGAGCGGTACGGGAGCTCCTGTGATTCAGGCGGTGCATAAGGAAAAATCGGTTCATTTATTTATCTCCGACGCCTTGAGCCTTATAAGCGAAGCTTAGCGAAAAGCTAACCGGTACCTGGACCAGTCAGGAGACCAGCTCACGTTTAAATCCATAGCAATGATCTTTGCGGAAGGTGCCAATCGTTCGACAAGCCGGTCAAGATCATCATGAGCGATTTCCATAAACTCCGTCTCCGAATGTTGATTATGCGCGATCGCGTTACCACCCGAGCCAGCAGGCATGTGTCCACACGGCCGCCAGCAGCTCTTAGTAGTAGCTCTACCATACTTGACAAGACATATTCTGATCGCGGCGCCGCGAAACCCCCTCTGGATTAGGGGTACGTGAATATTGAGACCACGCGAGGTAATGGTTGATTCGACAATACCTCTAGGGGCTTTCTCACTACGAATCCCCGAAATCGAAGGCAAAACCCTTGTGGTCTCGCACTTCGTAGGACTTTCGTTACTTCTAACCGTGCAGCAGCCATGAATTCACATTCAATTAAAGCGGGGGAGAGGTAATATGAAAGAAAACAACTGCTACCCTACAGGCGTCATAATCACCGCCCGAGGGTAGGGAAAACCAGGGACCAGGGGTTTAAAGGTGGTGTTTGAAGCTTCTGTGCCACCTCCAAGCGGTAATTATCCGTCGAAAGCTGATTGTGAGCAATAGGACAGCTACGATCGTCCGAGGGATAGAGTAATACTCTCCCCCCCCCATGAATAAATTTCGGACCCAGTTTAAGCCCATAAATCATAGAGCGGTGGTTTCTTAATGGCTCAAAGCCCTGTCAACTCCACTGTATAGACTAAATACTGGCTCAAAGATACTTTCTAAAGGTGAATCCTTATACTACGTTGCAGGCGTAAGTATTACCCCTCGAGGGTAGGGAAAACAGGGGGTTTAAAGTGGAAACTAAACTTTTAAGGCACCCTCGAGGGGTAATACTTAGGCCTGTACCGTGGTACGTAGTACGTAGTACGTAGTAAGTTGATTGGTTTAAGCCTTGGTAAGATCCCCTTGCGAAATTATACTTTCGACATTTATTCATGGGGGGGGAGAGTAGATACTTAATGGAGCTGGAAAAGGAAGTTGAAAAGGGGTTCTCGAAAGCCAAGTCTCCCGTAGGTTTTTCAGACGTAAGGAAAAAGCTTCGTAGTGCAGACTGAAAGCTCTGTTTGACTTCAAAAAAATGGATATGATGCAGGAACCACGTTTGCAGTCCAGTCGAGAAAGTCAACACTGTCTGTATCCCTTCATAGGTACCTGTAGCTTTTGTCAGACCCTCCGCGACTCTTATGAGAGGCCCGTAACACACGCAATCTACAGCATAGAGTCGTTAGTCTGCATGTCACATCGGAGGCCATCTCTATCCCCTCCGCAGCCTCATGACTCGGTAGAGAAAGACGGATGCTGCGAGGTCCTCAGAAAGTAAACATTGCTCGATCTGTGGAGTGAGCATATCCATAGGGATAGATAGGCTTGGAAGACTCTTCCCGACAATCGGACTCCGTAAGCATGAAATGCCGACAAGGTTCACACCACGCGTGACAGACTGAGTGCTCGTCCATCTTCGAAGTACCCGTATAGACTGGTTTAAATGAGTCCTTGGCAAGCCGTGCGTGGTGGAGCCAGCCAAGTAGAGAAGCGAGAAAAAATGATTACTCAGCTAGCAAAGTCCAACGTCGAGAAACTTGTATAAGTCAAGAATCAAGCGAATTTGAATATTTTCAATTTTCTATACTATCAGATCTTTTTTTAAATTAAGAAATTTAAACCTACATTCTAAAAAAAGCACTTCACTACAACTATCTTCTTTTTTCGAGTTGGATTGAGATTTTATACCTCTAAGCCTTGTTCTAAAGCTGAACTAGCGTTTTCATTTTCGTTAGAAAGGCTTTAAGTATTCGTTAAGCTCGATTCCGTTTGAATATACGTATATATTTAATCCGACCTTTGCTTAAAATTGATCTATAGTTATAGATTTTTTTTAGTTCGTGTTTCTTTAAGAATAAGCTAATTATTAACCCAACTTCTCTTATGAATAAAGCTTTTTTCGAGGGTTCCGAAGGTAAGCAAAGATATATTAGCATATTGATATGTAGTAGCAATGCAATTCTTTTCATTTTAGCTGCTCAAACGCTATAGATTTTGATACTTGGCATTTCTGAGTCATCAATTCCTGCTAATCGGCCACTTATCGCCGATGACCGTCTCTACCGCGCACGGCTTGCCAAGGACTCATTTAAACCAGTCTATACGGTATCGCCAGGAGGGATATTTAACGGGTTGGATCCAAAATTAAAGCCTGATGAGACTCTACTCTAGAAACCGCAGGCACCCCAGGCAGACAAGACCCGAGGCGTGCCTTGATTAATAGTAGTGATGCCATCACGGTCTCTCCACCGGGGAAATAAACAACCTTTTAAAGTTGGTGGTTGGGTGCGTGCCTCCATCGGCTACTTACTTGTTCCGCCGGCCGGTGGAGAACACGATGCCCACGTCACCGCTGTGGAGTGGGAGTCTTAACTAGCGGCGGGCCAGCCACCGACCGACGGACCGACGTCTCGCCAAAAAATATATTGGAATATATATCTTAACAGCAGCCGCCGCTCCATAAATTAGGAAGCCTAGCTTCTCATCTTTGATGGTCTAACGGTCATGATTTCCGCTTGTCAGCCGACAATGCGCGGGAGATCGGGGTTCGACTCCCCGTCAGAGAGGTTCTCTAGAATTCATGTCCCTGGAACGTACTTCCAGACAAGGCACCCAATCTTTTTGGCCTTTTTCTAGACAAGATGCCCTCAAATGACCAACCTAACAACTCCATCTCAGTGCCACAAGCAAAGGCTTGCTTTTCTTTTTTCAAATCTACGGTATACCAACTAACTCCATCGTGCAATAACAAAGCCGTCGTTCTTCACGCTCAAGAGTAATCGTCGGTTACCTTGCATTTAATTTGTAAAAAATCCCGACCTGGCGCAGAAGGCGGGACAGTAAAATTTGCTTCTTTATAATCAATAGAAAATCAACCAATCAACATATCGTAATTATTTCTGTATATAAAGATGCACCGTATTGAGTTCAACGGTAAACAATGTATTAGATTTTAATTACAATTTTATTATTCCTTTCTTGTGTTGAGTTGAAGTAGTAAGAATAGTACTTTTGATGTGTACTTTTCGATTTTGATAATGCGTATATATCAGAACTGCCGCGTACATACTAGAATAAGCGAGGAACACGAAACTCGGACTTTTATTCAAACCTATCAAAAGAAGACGTGCATCATTATCAACTTTTACTTAATAACTGATACCTTTAGCAATACAACACATTAAATCATTTGTTTTCGATATATGGGACGTTTCTTTTTTTTTTTTTTTTTTTTTTTAAAAATTAGGTTGTGGTTGTGAAGATATTCGCAGCGAACAAGCAAATTTGAATTATTTGGGATGGTTTTTAGCTATATTTTCAGTACATTTCAATGTATATTAGATCACCACAAGTGAATGCATCTTTACCTTAGAGGCAGGTAAGGGATTTATTTAAACCGTCAGCTGATAATTCGATGACGGTCTCTTTGAAAGACGATCCCAAGAGGTTGGCATGGTTACGTAGTGGATCACCCTCGGCCGATACTTCAGATTGAATAGAATGTGAAAATAAACGATTTGAATTAATCTAAATCGTAGCTAAAAGGGAACTATTCTCATCGATTAAACCATCTTTTATAAGAGCTCTTCTTTTCGTTGAGAGATTATTATTAAAATAAGATCGTCTTGGTCGATTAAATCGTCGTTTATAAAAGTCGGTCTTTTTTACGAAAAGACCGTTTCCGAGCGTTTTCAGACCATTTTACGACCGTTACTATGGCCGTCCCCGAATGTAAAACCATCTTTGAAAACGAGAATTAGGAAGCAAATGAATTTTTTTTTTTTACTATTATTTACTAGTCTATGTTCTATTACACCACCCCCTTACCACACCACCCCTGCCATAGTCGAAGAAGGCCCATCGACGCGGCTGAACCTTTGCTGCATCGATCGATTCCGATTATAACAAATTTAAAGCGTTGATATATATAGGTATATATATAAGCCGTAGCAGCGATACCGAGAAATATCTCGGCATCGAGTTTATTAAATTATGATTAAAATGATTTCATTTGAGAAATGATTTTTATCTATAATTATATCTCCCTTAACATAATAGTCAGTGCACTGACTTTGTGACCTGCGGGCTCTCGGTCACAGTCAGGGCAAGCAAGTGTCCCAGGTCAAGCAAGTGTCCCATTTCAATTATTTCAACTTATATTGAAATAACTTAGCAACGAATATTGCTATAATATTCAAAACTAGATGCATAGATCGGCGTAATCGAGATCTTTAAAAGTCTAACTAAGTATAAAATCTTTTTATTAACGATTTAATAATTAATAAAGTAAATAATGTTTGATTATCGATTGAATTTGATTGAAAATCAAATATTTTATATTAAAAATTTTATATTTTTTAATATTAATCGTCTTTTAAATTGAATTTCAATATAAAAATTTGATCTTTAAAAAACTATTAATCAAGCGGACTCGTACTATTTGTTTTTATTATTATAACTTTTATAATTATTATTTTATCTAAGTTAGAAATATAATCGAAAAGTTGATGTTCTTGAATTTTCGCTAAATTGTCCGAGCTTTTTTCGCTGTTACAATTGTAATTTTGCGTAATAAGTATTATTTTACTTATTTTAATAATAAAAATATATAATATATTTTATAAATCAAGTATAATTTACTTATCTCGATTCGTATATCTAATTTTTATTGTTATAGCTTTTTTTGTTATTGACTTATTCTTAATACAAATCGCGATTTTCGATTCTTTTCGATAAAGAATCAAAAACAATTTTTTTTTTTACGATTTGCAACTTGAATTACTTGATAATGAAAAGATCTATATTGATAAAATTTGAATGCATTAATCGGCGGAATCGAGCTCTTTAAAAATATCAAATTTTTAA